TTTACAAAAAAAATCTATGTATATGTATCAGTTGTGTAGTACCCATAATACAAACTTTAGTTTGTTTAACTTGGGTCTAGATGGCGCTGTGTGAATTGTTTTGAGATGAAGATTATTATTATTATTATTCCTAACTTTAAAAAAAAATCTCATTTCCCATCTTAAGGAGAGGAGATGGCAACTTATTATTATTAATGTAGCCAACATTGAAATATAAGTTATTTTGTATTTCTGACTAACTCTCCGGTGCTTTACATTGTAACACCGATATCTAACCAAAAATTAATACGAGAGACGACGGTAGGCTCGCTCCTGATGTTTTATTTCTAAATCTATACATTAAAATTGGAATGTCTGTTTGTAATATTGTAATAACCGGTTTTTACTACATGCATATGAATATAAATACGATACATGTTTCAGTCTATCATGAATATAAAAATAAATATAAAACGTGGTACATAAATACGATACAAACACTAAAATATAATTATTTACAAATTTTGTCTGTCTGTTTATGTTGGCTGTACCGATTTTGACGGGACATTTATTGGCAGGTAGCTGATGTAATAAGGAGTAACTTAGGCTACTTTTATTTTAGAAAAATAAAATAAAATTCCACGCGAACAGCTAGTTTAGATATTTATTTCGGCGGCCTCGTTGGTGTACCGATTTAGCACATATTAGTTCCGATGGTCGCGGGTTCAATCCTCGCAGGATGCAAACATTAGTTCCTGAGTATTATTGTTTGGAATAAAAACATATACATAGAAAACACCCAGACACTCTGGGTGTTTTCTATGTATTTTTTTTATTAATAAATGTTAATAATGCACCAGTTTGCGCTAACGGTTTACGCTGGAGGGATATCAGTGGAGGATGATAAAAAGAGCATTAAGTCAGGTCATTTTGCACATCTTCGCAAGTCGCATACTGTTGGCCGCAGCTGACCTTTACAGCTTCCCTGGAGCAGAGAGGCAAGGGGCGAGTGCACATGAACACTCCTGTACCCTCCAAACCAGTAGAAGGGCTTATAGAGCGTGTGAAGGCCAACTCTCGCCCGACGGATAAGACTCTAGTCTAAGGACACTGCTAGGAGTTCGAAATCTAAACCTAAGGGATTCGAAATTTCGATCCCCGTTTGAATTGGATGAGGGATCGATCGATGGAAAAAAAATAAAATGCACTACAATGTTTTAAACTAGAAAGGGTTGGCAGAAACTTATTGCAATAATTTAGATCACATCTCTAAGTCTATTATCGATGATTGATGATCTATTAACAACGACTAATCAATCGGATAAACCAGGGGTGAGCAACCTTTTTAATCAACGGGCCAATTAAATTAAATTTTTTTAGGCGGGCCGCACATAAAGTCATACCTATATATAAATTACAAAACTTTTTTATAATAAACATTAGAATAAAAATATATAATATTTTAGATAATTTACTTATCTAAAATATTATATATTTTCCTATATTAGTTTTAATGTAAACGTTCGTATTGCATGTTTGAACAAATTGCAGACAAGTAAGTAACTCGTCATAAAAGATCGTTTCGGATTAGTATGGCCTACTACTTTATTATAATTAATTTTATAACAATATTATGATGGCAGAAAGTAGAAAAAATAAATTCAATAACAGAAATGCTTAGAGGGGTGCATAAATATGTTTAACGGGCCGCAATCGGTCCGCAGGCCGCGTGTTGATCATGTTTAACGAGCCGTAAGCAGACCGCGGGCCGCGTGTTGCTCATCCCTGGGATAAACGATTATCCACTTATTTTATGCAATAATAACATCACAGCAAATAATTGTTATACTGATCGATTAGGCTTGTAACACTGTGTAACGGTTATATAAAACGGTAACTTTTAATCTGTTACCGATACTGAGGCATTGTTATTCAGTGATTTATGCTGTAGTTATTTTCGCATGAAAAATGTTTAGTACTCATGCAAGTTTAATGTCTTATATATAAAATTCTCGTGTCACAATGTTAGTAGTCATACTTCTCCGAAACAGCTTAGCTGATTTTGACTTTATATGTATACACGGTAGGTCTGAGAATAGGTTGTTGTCTACTTTTATACGCCTAAGTGTTAAGGGTGGTCCAAGGTGACAATATTTTAATTTTATGATGAGGCATTAAAATATACTTTTGTGGCATTAACGTTAATAATCTAATAATAATAATAATCTCAGGATAATTCACACAGCGCCATCTAGACCCATGTTAAGCTAGCTAAAGCTTGTGTTATGTGTACTAGATAACTGATACATATTCATAGATTTTTTTTATAAATAAATACATATTATACATAGGTAAGTTAACTTGACATTAAGTTGTATTTGAATTAAGAATATTTCTATTTACAATGTCTTTCTATTGCTTAATATACGCTAGTACGTAATTAAAAACAGAAAGGGAAAATGATTCAAATATTTTTTAATATATAGAGCCTCTTCTGAACAGATTATGATGATTCATTTATTTATCAATTCAGTATTCATTCTATCTCTATTCAGAGACATACATGCATGCATTCATTTCTTTGACGGCCTCGGTGGTCTAGCGGTTTAGCACACCGATTTACTTTCGATGGTCGCGGGTTCGATTCCTCGCAATAAGCAAACATTTGTATTCATGAGTATAATTATTTGTATCGGTCTGGGTGTTTTCTATGTCTATTATGTATGTATTTACAAAAAATCTAAGTATTTACATTAGTTGTATAATCCCTATAACATAAGCTCTGCTTACCATGGGACTAGATGGCGCTGTGTCAATTGTCCAGGATTATTTATTTATTTAAATGTAGTTCGGGATGCCACCGTAATATGTAATAAAAAAAAACCATCATGGCGGCTGAAATAGGTGAGAGTATAGTACCGCAGAAGACTTGCAAAGTGTAAGATCCTATGCAGAAACCAGTGCAGCACTGGGGCGTTTATTTATAAGCATTAAATGAAATGTCACTGTGTCAGATGGTAATCAGTCAGTGTTGTAACGCATGGTGGGCGGTACACTGTTCGACGTACATAACCGGGCCACCGGCTAACTGCGCTGGGTAAAGGTTACAGTAACTAGTTTTGGTAAGTGATCATAGCTAAATATACCTACTTCATAACAATAATTATAATTTGTGTAGGGACGTGAAGAATTTATCGATTATGAATAAAATCGATATTTTTTCCTATATGATTGTTTTTTACATTTTTGACCCCTTTGTTGCTGTCGCGGATAGCTAACAGCTAAGTATACCTACTTATTAAGAATAATTATAATATGTAAGAATAATTGTAATATGTGTAGGGACGTGAAGAACATATCGATTATGTAAAAATCGATATTTTTAATAAGCGATAGTTTTTTTTTTACTTTTTTGTCTAATTGCTGATTTTGGGTGTCGTTATTATCACTCAAAATACAAAATTAAAAATTTGGGGAAGAGCTTCGTCAGTAATATGAATTGTTGATCCCATTCCTAGCAATGTACCATGGCAGGTTGACTTCCCCTGGAAACCATGATAAATTCCTGGTGAATTTGTCACGATGGGCTAACTGACTTAACTTCATGCTCATGTTATCATCCTCACTGGTGCCCTGCCAGCCTATACCGCTAGGGCAGGCGGATGCACCATTCCATTCTCATAGTAATTGTTTATTAAAAATAATGCATTAAAAGGAGCATGGCCGCGCAATAAAATTACGTAGATCATCATCATCATCATCATCGAAGCCCGTTAGACGTCCACTGCTGGACATAGGCCTCCCCCAACGATGTCCACGACGGTCGGTCCTGCGCTGCTCGCTACGATGGAGATATTTCTTAGTATTCTATCTTTATTCAGAGACTTTGCGTCTCTACTACAGAACAAAATACTTCTGTGTTCTTTAGTCTCGCCTCACCCAAGCGCGATAGCAATATTTGCGATCGAAATTTTGCCGTAAATATTTAGGCTTCGCTCTACACGGCTTACTGTATTATTACAGTAAATGTACTATATATTTTCCGTTATTGTGAAATGCAATTATAATTTCTGTCTTGTACTTTTTTTGTAATTTTCATACTGTTTCAGATTGTTCATACGCCTTCAGTGGAAATGAATTTGAAAGGCTGCAGTGACTGTTTACCATCAGATGGGCCGTATGCTTGTTTACCACTATAGTATAAAAAATAAAATATATTATTAAACGATGTTATTGGAATGTTTTGGCGACCACTTTCCTGAAATTTCGCGATATCACGTATGTAACTTACCTACCTTAAACTGATATATTTTCTATAACTAATAACAACAAACAAACACTGATAATAATTTGACAAATAGAGATAACAAATCTTGAGACGTTTAGAGTGGTTAAGCTTTAGTTATGCTACAATCTAATCTTATTAATATTAAAAACTCGAAAGTTTGTGAGTATGTTTGTTACTCTTTCACGCAAAAACTAGGTACTGATTGGATTTTGATGAAACTTTGCAGTAATATAGCTTATACATGAGAGTAACATATAGGCTATAAATTTCATGAGGATAAAACCGCGTGCACAGCTAGTATATGTATAAAATAGCGTTTGTAACAAAACTTCTCCGAAATGGCTTCACCGATTGTTATGAAATTTTGTGTGTCCATGAGTATGATTGTTAGTATTGGACTGGGTGTTTTCTATATATATATATTTGTATTTACCTCTCTCGACGTTTCGACTAGGTTGCACTAGCCGTGGTCGCAAGCTGACTGGTGTAACAGCGATGTTAATGTATAATGTTATAGATAGGTGACAGCAGTTTTTTCATCTACCGTCACTAGCTTGTTTAACGAAAGTTCGCACTCACAGTATACGTATCGTTGTTGATGCTACTGAACTTTGCCTGAATTTATTTATGACTGTATTCCAAGCAGAATGAAAAAAAAAACCTTTATTTTCCATAAATTTATTCGTGCTAAGACCCGGTTAATAATATAAATAATGTATATTAAACACGACAGTTTAGAAATAAATATTTTTTCCAAAAAAACTATTATAGTTTGTTTTTAGAACTTCTTTGTCTGTTTTAGTTTTTTTTATGAATTTATTTTGAATACAGCCTTTGATATATTTCCAGCTTTCAGATCTTTGAGAGCGTCCTGATATTGCGATAGGCTGTATGTTTTAACTCCCAGCTTATGGTAGTCAATATACCTGAAATTATACAATTCAAAACTGTATATATATATATAACTGTATATGGGGGGGTAGAGGAGGGGGGTAGATGATGATTACGTCATCGGTAGTTATTTACTTTTTTACACGAATGGCAACCCTCACATTGTCTTTGCTAAAAAACAATACATTAATTGAAAAATGTCTACGTAAGCATGGGGGGAGGGGGGAGGATTTAAGTTATATATCCTTACTTATATTATAAATGTTTTTTTTTTATAACACAGGGGACAAACGAGCATGCGGCTCACCTGATGGTAAGTGATTACCGCCGCCCATGAGCACCCGCAACACCAGGGGAATTGCAAGTACGTTGTGGGCCTTTTAAAAAGGAATAAGCTCTTTTCTTGAAGGTTTCAATATCGTATCGGTTCGGAAATACCATTGCTGGAAGGTGATTCCACAATGTGGTTGTGGGAGGCAAAAAGTTTCTAGAAAACCGCACTGTGGAAGACCGCCATTCATCCAGATGATCAGGATGATATTTCAGTTTCTGGCGGGTGGTACGGTGGTGAAACTTTTGTACACATGTTCTTGGAGCTATTAGAATGAACATAGGATATTTGTTATTTTAAAAAATACAAATATTTTTATAAAAACAAAAATATAAAAAAGCCACTAATGAAGTTATAAAACATATATTTGCCTATTGTTATTTTCTTTTGTCACTCACAGACACGATGATTCGATCGAGCGAATCCGCTGGTAAAATACTAGTACTTTTATATATATTAATATTTATAAACTTATTTCCAATTCCAAATTTCCTCCTTCTTTCGTGGAGTGGAGGTATTCGGCATTCTAAATGTGGCTCTAAATATAAATAATATAAAGTTTCTTATTACCTGTCACCCATCGCACTGAGCCATTTGATCGCCTTCGGGAAACTGAACGGGTTAACCTTTACACCGATGATGGTCAGCTCCTTATTGTATATCTGGAATGGATTCACCCTGGGAACAAATCAAGTAATAGTTTTTATAACATAACCTTCATATATATATATTAAGAATGGGCCTCGTCATTATTATTACATAGTATATAATAAAGTCGCTATCGTTGTCTGTCCCTATGTATGCTTAAATCTGTAAAACTACGCAACGGATTTTAATGCGGTTTTTTTTAATAGATAGAATGATTCAAGAGGAAGGTTTACATGTATAATACATGTACGGCTGTACGGGCGAAGCCGAAGCGAGTAGCTAGTAAATTTATATTTTTACTAGCTGTGCCAACGGTAACCGCGATAAATTTCAGAAAAAAAATTAGCATATGTCATATTTCGATGCATAAGTTATATTACTGTAAAGTTTCATCAAAATTTATTCATTTTTTGTCATTATTTGTCAAAAACTATTTAGAAGTAATTATATGTACAGAATAGCTAGAAATCAATAATAATTATTATTATTAAAAGCATTCTGTTTCCATTCTATTATTATATTTAATTCCATTTAATTACATTCTTGTCCCCTCTGTTTTATTCTATTCTACTCTCTATACCAACTTGTTTCATTATCTTCTATTCTTAAATAATGACGGCACTTACTGAGCTTTGGCGTTGGGTGAGCAGCATCCGAACAGTACATATTTACCTCCTGGATTAAGATAATTGAAAGTACTCTCCATTACTTTAGCCACGCCTGTTGATAACAAAATTACTGAAGGTATAATAATTAATATACAGAATGTTTCAAAATTTGATGATAAACCTGAAGCAGGAGTTACAAGTCATCAGAACTATCAGAAAAATATTTAAAAAATCTTGACTGTGGTTTTAAATGTGCCTACAGGCACAGATAAACTAATATTACATACAGGCATTTAAAAAAAAACTAAAAAAACAACAGGCGGCGATGATCATTTCAACATTGTTGCTACAGTTTTATTCGTTCTTTTTAAACTTAATTTAGCGTTCATAATGTTTTTATCAATGTATACTTTTGTTACATCTCTAACTGATACATTTTTTTATACCACGTAGGTGGCAAACAAGCATACGGCCCATCTACGGTAAACGGTTACCGTAGCCTATGGACGCCTGAAACACCAAGGGTGTCACGTGCGCGTTGCCGACCCTTAAACCTTAATATACCCTTCTTGAAAAACCCCATGCTGTAGTCTCTCGAGACAACCTCGGCAGTAGTTCATTCCACAATCTAAGTGTACGCGGGAGGAAGCTCCTCTGAAAGCGCATTGTCCGAGACCACTTAGGCTCCGGCGTGTGGGGATGAATTCCCTATCGATGGCTAGCGGTGTGATGGTAAAAGGTAGCCGTAGACATCAAGTCAAACAATTCTACAGAACACAGTCTGTTGTGTATTCGGTAGAACACACAAAGCGATGCGAAGTTTCGCATATTTTTGGAATATGTTCCTGAGAAATGCTTCTATCAATTGTTTGCTTACGCTCGTTTTTTTGTTATTATTTACCAATATTTTGTCAATTATTCAAGTATTTACTAATATAGTTTACCTGTACAATCAATAATAACATCATACTGTATTGTTTCTGCAGATAAAACATCAGGCGAAATAAGGCGATATCCGGTGTCTGAAAAAAATGTTTATGAAATAGTATTCCTACTAAATTGGTAGTATTATCTGACGACCTCGGTAGTCTGACGGTTTAGCACACTGCCTTACCTACAATGGTTGCGGGTTCGATCCTGGCACGGTACAAACATTTATAATCATGATTATTATTATTTGTAATCATCTGGATATTCTATATATTTATAATTCTGGGTGTTTTGAGTGTACATTATGTATATATTTTCAAAAAAGTATATCTATTGTTGTCTAATAGTCATAATACAAGTTCTGCTTAGCTTGGGACTAGATGTCGATGGGCGAATAGACCACTGTTATTATTATATATTAAATATATATATATATATATATTATAATTGGGATAATTAATGAGAATTGATGAATATATATGTTTCTTATTATTTTATTACTCTTTCATACAACATTTACTGAATGGATTTGATTGATAGTTGGTACATACAGATATGTTTAGATTAACGTCGTATGTGTGTTAGTATATATAGAACATAAATATATATATAAATGTATATTATGTATATATATTTATTAAAACTTTCACACACAAATAAACGTGCACACGCTTAACAGATCCCAATCAACCATAGATAAAACAGATATTTGGACAGTATATTTTAAAAAATTATTGTAAAAAACTATCAATCAGATTAAAAATACATAAATATTATACGTGACCATAATCACATATATATTTAATATACTATATACATAACATGTATACATGTAAGATACTTGAATCTGTCGGACATGTAACTTTATCTTTTTGTAATATTGATTTATTGATGTTTGTAATCTCCAATACTATTGATCGGATTTTTAAAATTCCTATAGTATTGAATAGGTTATTATCGAGGAACACTATGTCACATCACGCTACCACTAATAGAAGAGTAGCTGCATTGAAATATATAGCAAGAACGGTAAAAATGTTACATATACTTTAAAAAGTTATGGTAACTATTTAATAAGCTATTTATTATTATATACGACCTGATTTTAAAAATAAGGTTATTTTTAAAATCATAAAAATACACGGATTTATACGGACCTCCATAGCAAACCCATTCTCACTATCAACCAACGTAAAACATGTTTTGAAATAGAAATAGAAATAATCTTTATTCAAATAAACTCATTACAAGCACTTTTGAATAGTCATATTTTGATTCTAGGGAATGCAGATTCATAAACTTGTGTGTTGCTCTTTTTAAAGATGTTTTTTTTTATATAAATAATTACAGTATAACAAGTAAGAGGCATGCGATAATCAACATAGAAATCGCTACACACTCATTATTAGTGTAATTAGATAATATTGTCAGTGCTATGGATTTAAAGTTCTTCTATAAAAACATTATTATCGTTAACGTTATGTTTTTGTATGTTTGTATTGTGACATAGGGATGGAGGATAAACACAAAAACATTGGATCAACTTCAGAAATTCTTTACTTATAAATAGGTATACCTATTATATTGTCAACGTATAACATGGCCTTTATACCATGCGACGACAAGCCCAGAACACACTTAGTAATAAACAGATTTCACAGCCTCGGTGGTCTAGTGGTTTAGTGGTATAGCATGTCGCTTTACTATCCGATGGTAGCGAGTTTGATTCCTCATGAGTATGATTGTTTATATCGGTCTGGGTGTATTCTATGTATATTATGTATGTATTTACAAAAGAAAAAATTAAGCGTTAATATCATTTGTCCCATAATACAAACTCTGTTTACCGTGGGACTAGATGGCGTTGTGTTAATTGTTCAGGGTTATTTATTTATTTATTAATAAAAAAAAGTTGTACTAGTCTCATAACCTTTTTTTATGGTGTAGAATCTTCAAAAGACCTAATAGTGCTTCCCCCGTTAGAGAGGTGACGAGAGGGTCTTTTGAAGATGACGAGGAGGTGTGTGGGATTCTTACCCACTAAAAAAACCACACTGTTCTTCGTCATGAGGTCTCGTTAGCGGTGGTCTTGTCCCTAATATTTTACTACCCCAAAATAGGCAGTCAAAAGCCGAAAGTATTTCATCAGGCTGTACGGTATTAAAAAAAAATACAAACTCTTAAAACAAAAGTAATAGCTACTACTACTTTTGTACCAGGGTGGATCATTAGAGAAAAATAAATTTAATAACGAAACATAATGTACTGACCTAGTCTCTCTACAATTTTCAGTCTGTTTTGATTCATCTCAGACACGGTCACATCTCTGTGTCCGTGATGGTGCAGAGTTGTCACCCATAGATTTCCTGAAACAAATATATATTTATAGAATTACAAGGTTGCTTTAATTATTTTACTTGTAAATCGGTTGCATTATCTGTTGGAAACATCAACAAAAATAGTTATTAAAATCTCCTTAATTATTTATTTCATAATATTTAAATAAATAACGCTGTGTTCTCTAGATTACGATTGTTATTTGTTTTTCTGTTCTTCAGTATTTTGTTACGCAGCTGATTATATCGACATTTTAATAAACATATATAATTACGATTTAATTACAAATTTAGTGTTTTATAATTAATTACAACGATTACATCCACGCACCTCGTTGAGATTCACACAAATACATTAGAATGAAAGTGGACATCGGTCGTGGGTTAGATTCCTGGCACAGTACAGTCATTGGTATATATTAGTACGACTGATTGTATCAGTCTCGGTGTGTCCTATGAAAGGTTTACAAAAAAAGCATTTAAAATATTTTTATCTGTTATCTAGTACCCATAACACAAGGTCTGCTTAGCTTGGGACTAGATGGTTCTGTTTGTCCTGAGTTATTATTGTTATTAACGTATATGATACACTCGTTTGTGTGTTTGTTTGACATATATAGTAAGTATATGCATCCGAGGCACCAGTAAAGGAAGATGGGATGAGGGTGAAATCTGGTCAGTAGCTTGGCAAATTTATCAGCACATAACTAATGTCTCTAGAATTACCTACTCTCAGATACACTGAAATAATATATAGTTGGCAATAAAATAAACATTACATTATATGATCTATGCTATTACTAACAATCTCTTCCCCCCGAATCAAATGGATAGAGGCTGCATATACTCACCAATAATACCAGCACCAACAATTAGTATCTTCTGTCCAACAGACAAAGGCGCAGCGCGGTCGAAGCCGTGGGACACGCAAGAATACGGCTCGCACAGACCAGCTGCAAGCAGATAGAATAATGCCACGAACTGGCCTAATATTTATGAACAGTGGCGGAGCCCTCGGTAGAGACTGTTCCCCCTTTCTTTTTTCTTAGGGAAAATCCTCATTCAGACTCGCCGGCCCCGGGGGAAGTAGATGGGCACTGCCTGACTCTTACAGGCTAAAACCCCCAAGGTGTTCCTTCTCTTGACCTTCTGTCAGAGTTACGGGAATGCGTAAGCAATCTTCCGTAATCCTGACGGCAGAGACTGTTCCCCCTAGCAAAAGGAGGTGACGTTTTCTCATTGATTTTATTGCAATTATCAATTATTAAAATATAAACTAAAAAATAATTTTCAATACCAACACAATAATTTAAAATGGGCACGTGTTACATTTGAATAAATCTGGCATTGCGTCGGCGTCCATCCAGTCGCCGTTTGGTCTTCGAACAGTCAATACTAGGCTTCACAAGCTATATCCGAACGCTATGTAATGCCTGATAATGCCTCCTTCACAGTTTGTATGGGTATCGTATCGCGTATCGTAATATAGGTGAAGCCTTAGTAACGGTCTGAATTTTATCACAAATAGAAAAGGTAGTAATGCTTCCAGTAGTGATAGTCAAGTTTTCGCACTGAATATTTGTGGTCTCGCACATGCTAATGGTGGAATGACAGAATTAATCAAAGTAAATTTAAATCCGTTAAGTGATGTGTATAATCCAGCGTAGCAGGGGGAGGCCCTACTACTCGCGCATTGAATTCTCATCGGCATCACGGTAGAGTCAGTCAGGAATATATGATTTAAAAAACTTTTTTGAATTCGGGGCGATGCAAAATTATGGGGTCTTAGTCGTCCAAATTCTTACCTTGTTCTAATGTGATATCCGCCGGTAATGCAAAGACCTGATCTTGTGGAGCTCGGACATATTGCGCCCAACCTCCGTCTTGCCAAATTCCAATAGTATACTTACTGCTACCAGTACAAAACTGATAGTTACGGTCCCGACAGTAATCACAGAGACTACACGCTCTGCAGACAATGAAATATCATATGAGGTATAGATAGGTTAGTTATAGTTTATTATATTTTAGTGACAGTATAAGTTAAGGCGCAGCCATAGCTAGTTAAATATAAATATAAAGTAAGCCGTTGATAATTTAGAAACTCAGATGTAATGTTTTCAAACATGTGTAATAAAATTCCCATCTAATCTTAAGTGTTAATCATTGCACATGAATAATACCTATCACAAACATCACGTCATTATTTGTGAAGCCCGTATTACCACATATGTCTTGCCACTGCAAAAGACTAAATATCATAGCCCAGTACCTTATTATTTCACAAAACCCATTTACTAAAATACATATCATTCTGATCATCTGGATGAATGGCGGTCCTCCACCGTATTTTTTCCGAAACTTTTTGGAACGCACAACCACATTGTGGAATCAACAGCCTATTCCTTCTTAAAAGCTGGCTACGCACTCACTCTTGGTGTTGCGGGTGCTCTTAGACAGCGATAATCACTTACCATCAGTGGAGCCTCGTTTGTGCAAGAGCAAGCTCGTTTGTCCCTTATTTCAAAACAAATCTTTGCCAAAAGACAGCTTACATTACAAACATCGGGAGGCAGAAATACGCGAGTTAGAAGTACCCCGCAGACGACTTTGTGCAAATTTCCCTAAAATTTCGTATTTGGACACCAAATAACAGACAGCAAATATTGAAAATACCTGTTAGGGTCAACCACAACCTTCTGTCCTTTCTTGAAGATAGATGCCTTGCCTGCCTCATAGATTTCACCGCTGAACTCATGGCCCAGTGGCAGTGAATTCTCTTCGGAAACTGGGAACTTGCCCTAAAGATATGAATTTGCATTTTCAATTAACTTTAAAAGTTAGGTAGAGGTATTGAAGTAAATGATGTCACCAACTGAATCAATCGAGTTAATTTTGATGTCTATTTTTCCGCAACGGTGGTATTAGTTTTGTATTAATTTGTCCAACTAAGTTTTATAAATTATTATTATTGTAGTCATTTAATTTAAACACAAGTTCTACACAAATGTAACCCGTAGTTCACGGCCGCTCTTCTATCCCTGCCCAAAGCGGCAGTCATGATAATGATAGAGTATGGGGTGCTAAGAATCCCCAGGCCGCCAAGGTCCACTGACTAGATTGAGCTGTATGAATTGTCCAGGATTATCATTATTATGAATACATACATATAATAATACTAGTAACCCTGGACAATTCACAGCAGCACCATCTAGTTCCAATCTAAAGATAAGCTCTGCTTGCTTATCTTATGGGTACTAGACAACAGATATAAATGCTTAGATACCTACATTTTTGCCGTAAATACATACATAATATACATAGAAAACACCTAGACCGAAAACAGTCATCAATCATACTCAGGAATACAAATGATTGCACCTTGCATGGAATCGAACACGAGACCATCGGAAAACCACTAGACCACCGGAGCATGTATGCGCACCGGATGTAGTTATACATGAATAAAGATGCATATTTTGATTTAAAAATTAAATTATATCTCACCTGAATGATATGAAGATCTGTACCACAGACTCCTGAGTACGCCACCTTGACAATAACATCTGTGTCATTGATTAACGTAGGTACAGGGTAGTCGGACACATAACTGATAGTTTGAGATACACCATCGTATACTAATGCCTCCATTTTGATCTGCAAGATAAATATGTCGCTTCAGAGAGAACATCTTGATCCGTTAATGTAAATAACAATGAAGATAAAATAATAGAGGCTAGAAATATAAATTAGCCTTTTTTTCAGTTATCAATAATCAATTATAACAAATAATATATATATATATATATATATATATATATATATATATATATATATATATATATATATAATATATCCCCTTGGGCACTTTGTGGCTCAGACGTGCCGTATAGGTAGTTTTTTGTTGATCCTTTTTCACTTGTTGATCCGGAGGCCTTTTGTTGATCTAATGCCAGCTGACGATATATAAATGTTGATCCTTTTTGAGCCACAACTGTCACGACGAGTAATAATAATAATTAAGCGATTTATACACGATTTTATACAAATCCACCTTTTTGGCATTCGACCACTTCTTGATCCAATTCAAACGGGCCAATCAGGGTGCAGCATTTGCCAAGGGCTTCCTCATTGGCACGTTTGGACTACTAGCTTATGGCTACAGTAACTTAATAATGTCTAGCTAGTATTTCAAGAATAATAGTCTATCTAATCTAAATATTTATAGAAATCAGTCTAGAGGAACGTGACTCCAGATCAAACCTCAATACTTGTTATTTTTTGGACGGGAATTTTTCCTTTAGTAACAACGTTACTGAGCGAATGAAGAGAAGACGTAACGGCGGATCCAGGGGGGAGCGTCATGGAGGTCTTGGGAGTCATGGGGGCGTCATGACTCTCCCCCCCCTTACCCCAGGACTTAGGTAGACCACTAATTGAACTAAAAAAATAATGAAACAGCAAATTTTTTTGCACGATCGGAGTGTTGGTGCAGTAGTATTAATTATAATTAAACATTGTTACTTAAAATATAACAGTTAAAGTACTATAACACTAAAAGCAAAATAGGTATTTTCAAAATACTTTTTCAAAATAAATTACCCTTTGAGTTTTTGTCCAAACCTCAGATATTTTATTTATTTTAGGTATATCAATCATTACATAGTATAGTATAGTATAAAACAAAGTCGCTGTCGCATCTAACAAGTACATAAATAAAGAAAGAAGACTTTTTGGCTCTGAATATATTTCAAAAATCAATTACTTGTGTTAATCAATTTATATACTCTTTCTTATTTCATAGTACTTGTTTTGATCCGAGTATATACAGATACCGTAACGGTCTATTAATTATGAATTTATTATACCTAACCTAGATATTCTATTTTGACGAAACTCCGTGTAGTAGTAGTATCCGATAAGGGTATGCGAACCCTAAGTATTATTTCAAAATGACCAGTAACTTTGAATTTTGAATTTTGATTTTAATAAGCCTTTGAATCAACTTATCAAACGGACGCTCAAGGTTCGATTCCCGCCACCGATTTTTTTTGTTATTTTTTTTTTGTCTTTATTCTAATTTTAAATTAACTATTTTAATAATTAAATGAATTTAATCGAACAAAACGTTGTTAAGTATTCAATTAATTTTAATTTACATTACCTATTGTACTTTCTAAATTGTAAAGCAGCTAACAATTATAGTAAGATCTTATAAATAACTAACACAACAAGTAAAATATTTTAAATGTATTTTCTTTATTATTACAAATATTTTTTATGCATAATATAATAGTTAATATCACTTACAATTAATTTAATACTTAACAACGATTTTATCGATTAAATTCATTTAAATATAACCCATAAATGTATAAATATTATATATAAATAAATACATAATGATCTGATAATCAAATTATAAGTACAGTCTCAAATTGAAAGTAAGAAAAACAGAAAATATAGAGAGAACTATAGGGATATAACAGAAAGATGTGAAAAATGGAGAAGGACAGTAAAAAAGTTACAAATTTAAATAATGTTGCCGCAATTTCTGTTTAAATGAATTTATTACATTATTATATATATTAGGCATACGACTAGCCTTATGACTGTTACTTTTTTTTTAATCTATACATCTATACATGTAAATAAAATTGGAGTGTCTGTTTGCAATATTGAAATAACCGTTTTTACTACTTGCATATGAATATAAATACGGTACATACACCAAAATAACATATTTTACAAGTTTTGTCTGTCTGTCTGTCTGTTTGTTCCGGCTAATCTCTGAAATAGCTGGACCGATTTTGACGGGACTTTTTTTGGCAAGTAGCTGATGTAATAAGGAGTAACTTACGCTACTGTTATTTTCGAAAAATAAAATAAAATTTCACGCGGACGAAGTCGCTGGGGCCAGCTAGTCTATAGATATACCGAGATTTAATATTTAAGTTGCTATTATGTTGTTGACAAAATTTTACTGTAATGTTACTATTACGTTATCCTACACAATTTGTATTATTTTGGATGAAAAAATAAATAAATAAATAATAATCTATACATATAAATAAAATTGGAGTGTCTGTTTGTAATATTGAAATAACCGTTTTTTACTACATGCATATGAATATATATAAGGTACATATACCAAAATAACAATTTTTATAATTTTTGTCTGTCTGTCTGTCGGTCTGTTTGTTCCGGCTAATCTCTGAAATGGCTGGACCGATTTTGACGGTACTTTTTTTTGGCAGGTAGCTGATTTATAAGGAGTAACTTAGGTTACTTTTATTTTAGAAAAATAAAGTTTAATTCCACGCGGACGAAGTCGCGGGAACAGCTTGTTTTTAATAAAAACGGTTTATTTCATAGAAAAAACATCTTTTTTGTGGTACTTGAGAATGTTGAAGCCTGTTGTTTGTATTATTGAAATAACCGTTTTTTACTACTTGCATATGAATATAAATACGGTACATACACCAAAATAACATATTTTACAATTTTTGTCCGTCTGTCTGTTTGTTCCAGCTAATCTCTGAAATGGCTGGACCGATTTTGACGGGACTTTTTTTGGCAGGTAGCCGATGTAATAAGGAGTAACTTAGGCTACTTTTATTTTAGAAAAATAAAGTTAAAAACCACGTGGACGAAGTCGCGGGAACAGCTACTGTATAATATATTAGAGATACCAACGTGTTTTTTTTTATTGATGACTAGCTGTACACGGGATTTCGTCCGTGTGGAATTTCACTTTATTTTTATAAAATATAAGAAGTTAAATTCCACGCGGACGAAGTCGCGTGTACAGCTAGTTGTCGGTAGTCTAGCGATTTAGCTAGCACACCGCTTTGATTCCTGCTTGGTGGTCGAGGGTTCGATTCCTCGCACGCTGCAAACATTTGTATTCATGAGTATGATTGTTTGTAACGGTCTGGGTGTTTTCTATGTATAGATAATATATATGTATTTACGACAAAAAATCTTTGTATTTATATCAGTTGTCTAGTACCCATAACATAATCTTCAGCTAGCTTAACTTGGGTCTAGATGAAGCTGTGTGAATTGTCCTGAGATTACTATTATTACTATAATAAATCTTTTCAAATCAGCCGATGTTTATTTTTGCCATAATACGTGCTGTTACCATGTGATAATATTACGTACTTACTGTTTGAAAATGTGATAATATTACGTACTTATTACTGTTTTAAATGTGATGCGTTCATTATTTGTATTTCCTTTGAATTAAAGACAAATGTATATATATATATATATATACATTTATATAAACTTGCACACTTAGTTGATCCAGCCACGATCCGTAGATATTGCTGATTCCACTGTCTCTCTCTTTCTACCACTATAACGGTAGCGTGGCGGAACGGCAACATGTTGCCGTTCCGCGTTCTACCACTATCTTTGTATTCTAGTATGCGATGTTGCCGTTCCGGCCGAGACCATGCGTTGTTGCCAAATGTATTCATCGATAGTAGTAGATACTCGATATATATTTTTTCAACAATTTCTTGCAATAGTGAATCCGTATCGGCAAAATTTTTTAAATGCACAAAGATTTTTTGGCTCTGAATATATTTAAAAATCATTTACTTGTGTGTTGATGAATTTATATACTAGTAAATGAAGTACCTAATACTTGTTTTGATTTGAATAGGTAGCGATATTATGAATTTATTATACGTAATCTAAAGATTTTGACGAAATAAAAGTAATTAGTTATCTGTTAACCTTGACTTCATGCTGGCACCAGTATTATCAGATGATGAACATACTCTTCGAAAACTTACAGCAGAAATATCGTGTTTGGACTCATTAGATAGGTCTCGATGAATAGAGTTTAAAAAACTTAAAATAAATGGTAAATTAGAAATAATGTATAAATACCACTTACGTAAAATTCAACCACTTTAAACTTAATAATAATAATAATTAGGAAAAGAGAAAAGCTATACATGCACTGAAAGTAATTGATGCCTTCCACACAATATTTTCAGTATTAAACAACTCTGTTTGTTCAGTAAAAGTGTAAATACACTGGTAACCTTTAATCATATTTTATATGCAAACATTACATATAAAATATGATTAAAGGTAATAAAACTTTAGGGTTTGTAACCCTAAAGTTTTATTTCAGAATAGCCAGCAGTTTTCAAGAAATAAGTCTTTGAAATTGTACGTGTAACTTATATATATACTAGTTTTTTCACCATAACAAACAACACCAATATGGCCTAGTTAGTAGTTTACCTGTGTACCAATTAATAATAATAGTAATCTCAGGACAATTCACACAGCTTCATCTAGACCCAAGTTAAGCTAGCTGAAGATTATGTTATGGGTACCAGACAACTGATATAAATACAAAGATTTTTTCGTAAATACATATATATTATCTATACATAGAAAACACCCAGACCGTTACAAACAATCCTACTCATGAATACAAATGTTTGCAGCGTGCGAGGAATCGAACCCTCGACCACCAAGCAGGAATCAAAGCAGTGTGCTAAATCGCTAGACTACCGACAACTAGCTGTACACGCGACTTCGTCCGCGTGGAAATTAACTTCTTATATTTTAGAAAAATAAAGTGAAATTCCACACGGACGAAATCCCGTGTACAGCTAGTCATCAATAAAAAAACACGTTGGTATCTCTAATATATTATACAGTAGCTGTTCCCGCGACTTCGTCCACGTGGTTTTTAACTTTATTTTTCTAAAATAAAAGTAGCCTAAGTTACTCCTTATTACATCAGCTACCTGCCAAAAAAAGTCCCGTCAAAATCGGTCCAGCCATTACAGAGATTAGCTGGAACAAACAGACAGACGGACAAAAATTGTAAAATATGTTATTTTGGTGTATGTACCGTATTTATATTCATATGCAAGTAGTAAAAAACGGTTATTTCAATATTACAAACAACAGGCTTCAACATTCTCAAGTACCACAAAAAAGATGTTTTTTCTATCAAATAAACCGTTTTTATTAAAAACAAGCTGTTCCCGCGACTTCGTCCGCGTGGAATTTAACTTTATTTTTCTAAAATAAAAGTAACCTAAGTTACTCCTTATAAATCAGCTACCTGCCAAAAAAAGTACCGTCAAAATCGGTCCAGCCATTTCAGAGATTAGCCGGAACAAACAGACCGACAGACAGACAGACAAAAATTATAAAAATTGTTATTTTGGTATATGTACCTTATATATATTCATATGCATGTAGTAAAAAACGGTTATTTCAGTATTACAAACAGACACTCCAATTTTATTTATATGTATAGATGTATAGATTATTATTTATTTATTTATTCATCCAAAATAATACAAATTGTGTAGGATAACGTAATAGTAACATTACAGTAAAATTTTGTCAACAACATAATAGCAACTTAAATATTAAATCTCGGTATATCTATAGACTAGCTGGCCCCAGCGACTTCGTCCGCGTGAAATTTTATTTTATTTTTCTAAAATAACAGTAGCGTAAGTTACTCCTTATTACATCAGCTACTTGCCAAAAAGTCCCGTCAAAATCGGTCCAGCTATTTCAGAGATTAGCCGGAACAAACAGACAGACAGACAAAACTTGTAAAATATGTTATTTTGGTGTATGTACCGTATTTATATTCATATGCAGGTAGTAAAAAACGGTTATTTCAATATTACAAACAGACACTCCAATTTTATTTACATGTATAGATGTATAGATTAAAAAAAAAGTAACAGCATAAGGCTAGTCGTATGCCTAATATATATAATAATGTAATAAATTCATTTAAACAGAAATTGCGGGAACATTATTTAAATTTGTAACTTTTTTACTGTCCTCCTTTTTTCACATCTTTCTGTTATATCCCTATAGTTCTCTCTATATTTTCTGTTTTTCTTACTTTCAATTTGAGACTGTACTTATAATTTGATTATCGGATCATTATGTATTTATTTATACATTTATGGGTTATATATTTATGTATGTATATTGTTATTTTTTTATAGAAATGTATATTTTGCTTATCTTTATTATCTTTATAAATCTTTTTTTGACATTTCTTATTTATATTAGTGCACCGCCAATAATCTTTCGCTGCACCACTCATGGTTGCCTGGTAAATAACGCGGCAAGATATTAAGTCCGCCACATGTACAATTTTTTTTGTGCATTAAAGTTAAATAAATAAAAAAAATATAATACTGTTTAATGAAAATGCGTATTGTCTAGTGCTTTGAGATGTATCAAAATAAGGTCAACAAAAAAGTCCGTGATGGTATATGTCTATCTCTCAAGGATAACCAACAATAACCATTTTTTATCTTTTACATTTTACGGGAATTTTTTTATCGTATGTTTCCCTTAAAATCATGTAAACTATGCTATTATGTCATAATCTAAAGAAATAATAATATTTTATAGTGAAATATCCACTATAAAATACCAAAAAGTAGCAATGTAATTTGTTACGCGCGAATCAGGTGTTATAAGGTCAAAGGTCGGTGCACCCCGCGTATTTGATAAATCTAAAGCTTCTCTGGATGTCTTTAAGAGAAAATGGCAGTATGTACGTGTATATGTCACACAAGTCCTTAAGTGATAAGTTTTTCAAATGTACAATATAGAATAAATATTTTTAAGTACAGTACTTACGTACATTAATATAATACCTACTTTTTACTTGTATCTATTGTTATCAAAATTAAATTATAAGTTCTTAACTTGACCACGACTATGTGACCCTCTCTTGGCGCCAAAACGAGTGAAAAAATGAACAGCATACGACGACGACGCAGTACCTATAGAGTGGAGCAACTGCTTATTCAGTTTTATTCAACTATTTAGTCCCTCCACCGTTACAATGAATGGAGGCGGATATTACAATGTACGTAGCATTGCGAATATAAAATATCTAGATTAGGTATAATAAATTCATAATTCATAGGCCGTTACGGTATCAGAGCCAAAAAAGTCTTCTTTCTTTGTTTATGTACTGTTAGATGCGACAGCGACTTTGTTTTTATATTACTATGTAATGATTGATATACCTAAAATAAATAAAATATCTGAGGTTTGGACAAAAATTCAAAAGGTACTTTATTTTGAAAAAGTATTTTGAAAATACCTATTTTGCATTTAGTATTTGAAATACAAAAACAAAACTATTATTGTTTTTAGAGTGACATTTCTATGAATTCACTGTCGATAGCGAGCGGTGGGATGGAAAAAGATAACCGTTTATAAATATATAATAAATAGCCCTGGACAATTAACACAGACTGATACTGAACTGATATAGATATTTTTATTTTGTAAATACATATATAATATACATATAAAACACCCAGACCGATGAAAACAATCGATGACCGATGAGTACAATTGTTTGCACCGTGCGAGAAATCGAACCCGCGACCATCGGATGTAAAGCGGTGTGACCACCGAGGCAGTCGAAATATATAAATAATCTTATGAATTTAATTTATTCTAATTTGTTTGTGTGCGCGGGGTGCGGTGTACGGTGCTCCCCCTTGCCTCCAACGTTGCTGGAGCTTGCATGTATGGAGCATTGCGAATATAAAATATCTAGATTAGTAAATTCATAATTGATAGACCGTTACGGTATCTATATATATTCGGATTAAAATAAGTATCGCAGTAAGGACCAGTATATAAAGTGATCAACATAATTAATTGATTTTTGAAATATATATACAGAGCCAAAAAGTCTTTGTGTATTCAAAAAATATCTAATTTGTTTGTGTGCGCGGGGTGCGGTGTACGGTGCAGGGGGGACCCTGCCTCCACCGTTGCTGGAGCTTGCATGTATGGAGCATTGCGAATATAAAATATCTACATTAGTAAATTAATAAATTCATAATTGATAGACCGTTACGGTATCTATATATATTCGGATGTAAATAAGTATCGCAGTAAGGACGAGTATATAAAGTGATCAACATAATTAATTGATTTTTGGAATATATTCAGAGCCAAAAAGTCTTTGTGTATACCAAAAATTTAGCCGTTCGGAGCCATTCAGTCACGAATTATTAGTAAAAAAAGTGTCGAGTATATCGTACTATCGACGAATATATATGGCCACATCGCAAAACAGAATGCGACGTTGCCATACCGCCTGAGATATACGCGATAGAGGTCAAGTTATTCAGTGCAAAAGGTGGAATCGGCAAGTGTTTAGGTTGTGGCGTGATCAACAAAGTGCCCAAAGAGGTGTTTATATATATATATATATATATATATATTATTTGTTTATATATTTTATTTTGTTAAGATAAATAAAGTCTCTAAAATAAAAGTAACCTAAGTCCGGTTAAAACCGGTACTGTATTTTAGAGACTAGCAAGAACAAACAGACAGACAGATAAACGTTTTAATTTTCTTTTATTTAAGTACTGTATCTACTACATGCATTTAGTGATATAGTAAAATGCTGTTAATTGCTAAAATTATAAAAGGACACATCAATTTTATGTATTTCTATAAATTGAATGGAGTAACATTAAGAGAAGATAAATAAAATTTTAACTATATAAATATGTTTTATGTTTAACTAATGTTAGCACTAACCTCGTCTATCACCTGACTGTAAGCCGTTAAGCTATAAAATATCAAATGGATAAAGTGTCCTCAGTTTTGCTATACCTAATGCAACGATAATACTTTGATGTTCTATAATTATGATGATTTACATCAAACGGTGTAACTCCGTGCGCTTATTTTATATATATACATATATTTGTAACAATAGAAATAAAAATAATCTTTGTTTTTATACAAACTGATTTTACTTTGGGATAGTTAATATTTTTTTTATTCTACCACTCACTGACTCATGACTCATCACAAGAAGAAACTATTACTATTAAGTATAAATGAGCGTTGTTCAGAATAATGTGAAATTGTAAATTATCACATTTATCACTCACAAAATCTTCGTCTTCAATCAATCGATACAAAAATGGTCGTTACAAAATATCCACAATATAAGGGACATATTAGCCGCTTATCAAAGTCAACTTTTATGTATTAATATATTTTTTCCTACCGTCCATAGATTAAATTGAGAAAATCTGGCAAGTGACTGAACTGAATTTCTTTTTTAATCATCGACGCCTGGTCGCTTTTGAGACTGAGAAGTATACCATCATGTTATACATGTAACCGATAAGAGATCGGCAGTATTTGCTCCTTTAAGGAGCCGTTCAAGTATTACGTAAGCACTATGGGGAGCGGGGGATCTTTGCTTTGATTATTTTGGGTGACATGGGGGATTGGGGAGTCATAGGTAGTTATTTACTTTTTTACGAATGGCAACCCTCACATTGTGTTTGCTAAAAAACAATACATTAATTGAAAAGTTTACTTAAGGAGGGGGTAAGAGCTTTCCTTACTTTTGCTGACAAGGGGGATGGGGGAGTAAATAATTGTAATAAATCTGTTTACGTAATACTCGAACCTATGGCGAATGAGTTTAACAAATTTCCGTAATATTGTGGTAATATTAAAAAAAATAAAGACTATATATTCAACGCGCATTTAGTCGTGCCGTTTCGTCTAAATCTTCCCACCATCGTATCAATGAGTCATAAAATTTATCTTATCGTAAACAAAGTTGTTATATTGGACGGCCTCTGTGATCTAGCGATATACCACACCGCTTTTCTTCTGATGGTCGCGGGTTCGAGTCCTCGCAATTGCAAACTTTTGTATTCATGAGTATAAGTGTTTGTCCAGTACAAAAATTCTCGGTGTATTATATGTGCATTAACAAAATAATATATATCAGTATTTTAGTTGTTAGTGCCTATAATACAAGCTTTGCTTAACTTGGGACAACATGGCGCTGTGTGAATTATCCATTCTAACAAAAATGACCAAAGCCTCAAATACATATAATAAAAACAATAACAACATGTTATCATTTGTACTTCTTTTGTGAAGAAACTATTGTTATGTAATATTATGTTATCTATGCTAATGTCATTAATAAAGCTAATAATAAAATTCATAGTTGTCTGTCTGTATTATTATATTTTAATGACTTTGATAATTTTTCTTAGAATGCAGTTTTATTTTTAACCTGTAAATAATAATAACGATAACAAAGATAATAAAGTTTATTTACAATTCAGCAAAACAAACAATGACATATTTGTTAACTCGTATGATTGATATAGCCTTAATACTTTCTGCCACATAGTACCTACCTAGGTGGATTAATAACTCCATTGCTAGCAATGTACTATGTCAGGTTGACAAGCAGTACCCCCTTAGAATCATCATAATAAATTTCAAATGAATTTGCCACGATGATTGACAAGCAGTAGGTACCCCCTTAGAATCATCATAATAAATTTCTAATGAAAATTTGCCACGATGAGCTAACTGCCCTGACCTCATACTCAACCTATCATCCTCCACTGATGCCCTGCCTATACGCTGGCGGGGCACTGGTGGAGGATATTATTAGGTTGTATTTTTTGCACTCAACATAATAATTTTTATATGCTTTGAGAGCTCATATAGCAAGGGTTGTGTGTGAAAAATTCCAATTAATTCTACGCAGTAGTTTTTGGTTGGTACCCTTTTAAATATGGAGAGGAATAAGCAGCATTTTCGACATATCTTACTGTTTTACTACAGAAAGGGCAAAAATGCTGTTCAAGCCAGAAAGAAATAGACCGAAGTGTGTGGAGAAGGTGTGTTAACAGTAGAGTCACGTGGGGCAAGTGTACGCACTTAAGGTTTGAAGTATCATATAATAAAATATTTGAAGTTAACTGGAACAAAACAAGGTTTATTATATAAAATATTTAATAATCAACAACTTAAACGCAAAATAAATCATTATCATTTACACAAATTCTTTGGAAATCAACAAAATCAAAACTGTTTAAATGCGCACACTTACCCAAGTATATGTAGGGGTAAGTGTGCGCAGTAGTGCGGGTAAGAGTACGCAACATGTAACATACAGTAAATAGAGTCAGACTCTTACGACAAACCAGAAAATAGACATCCTCAACCTAATAATACATCAGTTCAAATATTTCCTTTTCAAAGTTATTGCATTGTTCATGATGCTGTATTGGATCCAGTTTTCATTCGGTGGAAATATGTATTTTTCTGCACACAGTGGGCAAAATAATTCCTGCTCATCATTTTATTTATTTTCAGATCAAGTCGTATCTTCTTTTTTGGCAATTTATTCTTCCTCTTGTTTTTTCTTTTTTCCAATTCTACTTTATAAGGACTTACAGTATCAATGATTGACTTTTTGCCTTTCTTTCGCCGATTTTGAATCACAGTCATCCCTCCAAGAAATGCCTAAGGCCAACTTCGGCATTTCTTGGATGGATGACAGTCGTACATATTCATTCCTAGACGAAGGTACACTCATTATTGCGGGTGCCACACTGTCGTTTGCTACCAACCTCCGAAATTAATCTTTTAACAGCTTCTAGCTGTTCCTCTGTGACAACACTTCTATCCGGTATATTTCTTTTATAATCGAGGCATTTTTTATGTATAATTAAACTCTGAAATAACAAATTGCATCATAAATACAAAGCCAAAGCGGAGCGGGGTAAGTATTCGCATGCGCACACTTACCCGACATGCGTATGCGCACACTTGCCCCAATACATCAAAATAAAATTTAACCAGAACTGAGCAATATTACGTAATCGTCATCACCAAAAGATTAAACACGGCTTATATTACATAAAATGTACTGTTCGATGGTATAAAGCATAATTTCAAAATATAAATATATTACAAAGGAATGAGTCTCTCATTTAAGACAAAAATCGCAATAATTCAAGCAAAAAACAATACTCACTTACGGAACAAAATGGTTCACCGGCGGACAGTGAAAAAGTTGCACTATGTATAGCCTTTTGTGCGCTAATGAGGAGGGGTGTTATCAGTTCGTACCTATAAACCGTTTTTGAAATACTTCGAGTGCGCACACTTACTCGCTGCGCACACTTGCCCCACGTGACTCTACGCCAATGCCAGAACTGGTTCGCTAAATTTCGATCTGGCAATTTTGATGTAAAGATGCACCACCCTCGGGAAGTCCGGTTGAAGCTGATAAAGGCACTGGTTGATGCGAACCGGCGAATTATGAGCTCTCAAAGCATATAAAAATTATACGGCTTAAGTGTGAAGTTGAGTGCAAAAAATACAATTAAATCCTTAGTTAGGAAAAAACGAAATTACTTTCCGAACAACCTAATAGCTCAGGCGGGAGCGTTCTATTATCATGCATCTTAAAAATATTATAAACGAAGCGCCTTTTCTGAAATGTGTTCACTTTGTTTATCAATAGTCAACCTCTAGTACAATTGCTGGTCAAGGAATAGATGGAACGAGCGGACTAAAGTCTAGGCAATCTAGGCACGTGGCTTGGACTAATTTTTTAAATTACCAAATGTAAAGTATTTGTCATGACTAAAAAATACGGCCGGAATTAAAATATTACCTAGGGTCCTCTTTAGCATTAGTCCGTCGCTGTGTAGGTTTTTAATAAACATAACAAACATATAACTGGCTAAAATAAAAATTTAAAGAAATTAAATGTTCTTAGAAAAGAGAGAAGAGAAATAAATTAAATAACTTTAATAAATGCACTACTAAATGTCAAACCTAGTAAAGCTGCCATCTACCGGAAAATTAGGTAAATATTAAGATTACTATTAACCACACCTTGCTATTTTAGGAACGAATCATTCAAAGTGTTACCAATTTAATATTTACTAACATTGTAGGCAACAATTAAAAAAGAATGTCTGTAATTTATTTGGGAAATTACTTAGATATTATTAATAATTTTGCTGTGTATATTCAATACAGAAACATTAAATAACTTAAACCGATAAAGCTATAACTGGAAATAGAACATACTGTTTAAAATTAAACATTATAAAAAATATATACACTGATTGTTGTCTACATATGAACATGGACAGTTTCAAATTGAGTAACAAATCCGCCTAACATATTACAAAGTATTATCGTATTACGTTTTACATTAATAGAAATTGTCTTGGAAATAGTAAATTTTACATAATAGCTAGCAACACTGAAAGCGTCACCTCTTCACTCAATGTCATTCATTATATTGTTTGAGTGCCGTCACGCTATTCATTTCATTCATTTTTCGTTCGTTCAATTCAATTCAAACGAAACGAAACCGCAATATAAACGTGATTTGTGTTGTGAACTTAATCTTAATATCACTATGGTTTTAATAAAAATTACTTCGCTATTCGCGCTATTATTAAGTTTTATTACTGTTGGTGAGTAAAAGTTGTTAATTTCTTCATCTCCAGTAACTAGTTTTCATGCTGTTCATTTTGTTATTCACGCATTACGATCAACGGCATAATTTCGTAGATTTATTTAGTTTGCGGGCTAAGGAGACACACCCAAACTGTTTTCTTTATTTCTTTTGTGGAGACGCGCAAAGGAAAATCTTGATACATTATAAAATATCTTCAGAATGTACTTGCCTACAAAGATTATAGTGTAATATAGTTACATGGTTATTTCTGTAGGGTCTTCAAAATATTGCTTAAAATGTTTAAAGAAAGGTTAAAATTGGATTCAAAGTTATTTAATATTTTTAACAAAACAGTATAGTTTTATTACAAAATTCTAAAATCAAGGGTGCCATACATCGACTTCAACCCTTTGTAATCGATCTCTTTTTCCGCGTCAATGGTTTAAAACAGGATGGAGGGTTGATTCTGCGATAGCGGCACGATCATTATAAATTATTACCCGTCTTTATACTGTAATTGTTATTGTCAACCGGTTTCTGTCGATTTAAATTGCAAATTAGTTGAAGTAGTTAACGTTTATATAATTTAACATCTTGATCCCCGGTAATTTTATTGTAAAACTTTGTTTTGTTATAACTCCTCTAAATAAAAGTTATGTTTCAAGTCAGTTAGAACTATGTTAGTATTGAACAGAATAAAAGTAAGGTTTAAAAGTCTATGCTCTCTATGTAACAGTAATTTCTCTAAGAGAGAAAGAGTGTTCATTTCATTATAAGAAAAAATAACCTAACAAAAACAATATTCACCTAAGATAAAAAAAAAATAGAGGACTGAAAAGAGAATATACATGGGACAGTGAAAGTACTGGGCTTTAGAGACCTAAAAAATAGATAATTGAAAAGAGAACTTGGTATAACCTAGAATAATCCAAATAATAAGTAGCAGAATATAGACAGCCTGGCAATAGGAGAGTATGCCTACTTATGAAGCAACTGCAAATGAACCTTCTCTGTTATTCAATACATATAAATAAAGCATATAAATTATGTACTATAACTAATTGTTTTTTTTTATGCAAGTATCTGTTTATATACTTTTGTTATATGATGCCAATTTGGCAAATTTGCTATTTTGCTATTTGGCAATTTCCATTCACATAAAATCTTAAAAATGTAAGTGGTAGATAAAGAAGCCTTTATTCTGCACTTGTCATTACATATTGTTGTTTCAAATCTTAGCTGTTCCAATTTATTAGACTACAGTATAGATTTTTGTTATTATGGTAATTTACACAATTGTTCATTGTTTTGATATTGTGTATTTTATTAATTACTAGCTACTCGCCCCGGCTTCGCCCGGACGTACATGTATTATACATATAAACCTTCCACTTAAATCACTCTATCTATTAAAAAGACCACTTCAAAATCTGTTGCATAATTTTAAAGATTTAAGCAGAAAGGGATGAACAAACAGCAACAGCAACTTTGTTTTATAATATGTAGTGATTTTACTAATTCTTTTAATTACAACTAATTCTTTTAATTACAACTAATTCTTTTAATACAGAGTGCCTTGTATTAAAGGCCTGTAATTCTTTCCAATATACTCTATTTTCGACTGTTCTCCAGTAGGGGCCAACAGTTAACTTTGTTTCACATTCCTATGACTGTTAAACTTGCTTTGACTTCTACAATATAGTCATAGCCTAGTGTGGAGGCATAGATAAAATGTTACTTAATTTTTCTGAAATAACTGTTATTCTTATTCTTTGTGTATAATATGGTTAGGTATTAAGAAATAAAATGTGCTATGTAGCTTGTATTGCTTTTATGAAAGAACATATTGTACCTGCCAACATTAATACACTTTATTAATAAACAAAGTATAAAAGAAAGTACCCACATCTATATATGACAATGTATAAACAATATTATGTTTGTATTTATGGTTTGTAGTCTGTGGTTAGTTAATAAGAAAAATCTCTCTTATCAGAGTTTATAAATAATAAATTTCTGATATAATTCATCATTCATTGTAATAAAAATATTAAATGCATTTCACCATTGAAAGAAATATCTTACAATATGTGTATTTCTAGGTCTTGGTCAACGGACACCAACTATATCACACATCACACAAGAACAGATTCGAGACATAGGAGGACAGGTTGATTTGGATTGTTCAGTGCATTATGCCAAAGAATATCCCGTCATTTGGGTAAGTTAGAACAATTCATTTTTATTATAATATGTACTCTCTCCTCTAGATGATTCATTTACTATTGTTTTTGTGTTCATCCCTATTGGGTAATGGAAACAACGTTATAATTTTATTGTCTGGCTCACTGGTGAGCGTCCTTTGAAATCTAAGATGAGAGTCCTTTGTTAATCTTTAAGAAGCTTGTAACAATAGCACAATAATAATAATATTACAATACAATTCACAAGGGGAAAGGGATTGTTAGTAATGTCACATTGACCTCCACACGATTCCCCCTGGAAACCATCGTGATAAATTTCTGGTGAATTTATCAGGATGGGCTAACTGACCTGACCTCATGTTTTTCTTATCAACCTCCACTGGTGCTAGCTTAAACCGTTAGCGCAGGGGGGTCCTCCATTCCATTATCATAGATAAAAAAAATACATTTCACATGGCGACATTTGCTCGAAAACTAAATAGAGCTTGTACTATGGTTTTTAAACAATTGGAAGAAATAATTTTATTAAAATAATCTGGGATATTTTCTATGTACCTATATTATATAGGTACATAGAAAATATCCCAGACCAATGCAAGCAATCACACTCATAGATTCATTCAAGTATCTCTACACATTGCTAAGGTTGACTGGGAGAGAATGTTATAGCGCATTAAGTCCTTTTGTACCAATTTTAGTAGTCAATAAATCGAATAAATTAATATAAGAAATAAATAAATACAAATAATAATAACAATGGTAATAAATACATTTAGTATTTTGGATAATATAATGCATAAATTCATATTTGTTGATTGGATTTGAAATCTACTTTTACAATCATTTGTTATGAGAAGCTAGTGTCTGAAATATATAACATATAATACAGATCACCAGGCCTCAAAGGGAATGTTACATGTGATAAAAATGTTTCTAACAACCCAGAATGGACAGTGCGACCTTCGAATATAAAGCGGTACAAACTACTAATCAACCGAGCCCTTAAAAATTGTAAACCGCTGTATTTTTCCGGGAATCGAACCGGCGACCATCGCAAGACGGTGTCCTGAACGGCTAGACTACTGAGGGCGTCATTCGAAGTTGTAAAATTGGACCCTCTGTAAGGCACGAGATACGCCCATGTAACGACTTAAATTGTATCCTGTTACCCAAACTATTCATGCATTACACACATAATAGCCATAGGGGCATTGTCAGTGCTATCAAATACCATTTTATTGACTTTCTTTGTCCGTCCATTGCGACGTTTAAGCTTAGTTTTTAAGTCATTGGATGATTCGTCATCTTAATAATATTATAAACTCGAAAGTTTGGAAGTATTGATGTTTGTTACTCTTTCAAGCTAAACTACTGAACGGATTTTTATAAAACTTTACAGTAATATAGCTTATGCATCATAATGACACATAGGCTATATTTTATATTGAAATCTAATGCGGGTGAAACCACGTGTTTTCTATGTATAATATGTACCTATTTATAGGTACTAGACAACTGATAGAAATAATTGTAAATATTTATTTTTTTGGCTAAGATATCGTATTATACATACAAAAAATATAGCTAAATTGAGAACCTGTTGTTAAAAAAAAAAAAGATCGATCCTTTTTTAAATAAAAGCTTGAGGATTATAAAAAAAAGTCGATGAATTTATTTGAATTTGAATTCATTATTATTCATTCATTATTTTCTTTCTTTCAACGCACCAAATTGAATATACTGTGTTCTGACTTCCATGTTCAGGCAATCATATAATACCTATTTAGAAATGTTTATCGATGAAATATGAAACATTCGCATAATTAATACTCCACGACCTTTTTTTTCCTCATATTCATCCTCCCTTTTTCAATGATGGAACAGGCAAAGATCCTTAGACAGCCACGTCGGTACGACAGGCTGGTCTACTTTTAAATTCCTTCATATTTGTATAGGAAATAAGACCAAAGACCAATTATTATGTAAAATAATTCATTATTGCTTTCATACGTGTATTCGACAACAATAATAATTGAATTTTTTTAGCAAATATATGACAGGCAAAAGACCGACTCCGTACTGCTATCGACGTATAAATTGAATTTAGAGAAACATTCGTATTTTGAAATGTGTAATAATAGTCTTGATGTTATTTTTTTTAGCAAAAATATGACAGGCAAAAGACCGAGTCCGTACCGCTATCGACCAACGCTGGCCTCATAGTTAAGGATTCTAGATTCTCTCTCAGATACGATGAAGCCACTGCGACCTACACTCTGTCGGTGAGTAATATTCAAGAGACAATTTTTTTTCTTATTATATATATATTTTTTTGTATTATAATTATAGTTCACATATAATTTCTTTTTCAACTCCGAAATCGTTTGAATGTTTTAATAGCAACAATCTGGCTACCTAATTGTAAGTGGTGCCTGTTGCTTTTATACCTGAACAGCACTACGGACATCACGTTATCATATAACCTTATCTTGATTATTCATGCGTTGCTATTTCAGAGGACAAAGATGTGATGGACAGCATATCCTGTATATATAACACTACCTTCTCACAACCTTTATCTGAAACATCTTACGCTTACGATGACTTACTAATTCTACTTCTGTTTAATGTATTATTTAATTAACAGATAAAGGATATCCAAGAGATAGATGCTGGTTGGTATCAGTGCCAAGTACAGATCTCAGTGGCTAATAAGATATCGGCGGAAGTAGAGCTACAAGTACGCCGGCCACCCATCATTTCGGACAACTCGACTAGATCCATCGTAGCTAGTGAAGGAGAGAGTGAGTATAAGAATGATTTTTGTTTTTACTATAAAAAGACAAAGAGTTTTTACGTAAAAGCAAAGACAGTAATCCTTTTTTTAAGTTAGTAGAGATTTTTTTAAGGTGTTCTTTTTTTATACTATGGTATGGTGGCAATAAGCCGGCCCATCTGATGGTAAACAGTTACCGTAGTCTATGGACGACTTATAATACTATGATGATGGCGGCTTGGATTCATAGGACATCCATTTGTATTCATGAGTATGATTGTTTGTCTCAGTCTGGGCGTTTTAAATGGATTTACAAAAAAAAAATGGTGCATTTATATCAGTTGTCTAGTACTCACAACATGTACTTTGGTGCTATGTTAATTATCTGTAATGATAATTTCCCTTTAAATTAATGATAATTAACCTTGCAAAAGGTTTAATTTACACATAAATAGATAGATATTTACATCAACATATACACACACACATACACATTTTACAACGTAGTATAAACTACAAAAAAGCAGAGTCTATAAAAAAAGAAGAAACAAGAAGTATACAAAAAAAGGATGTATGAAATGATTATACATATTGTATCTCAATATATATAATCTATCATCTATAGATATATAAAAAGAGAGTTGCTGTTCGTTAGTCTCGCTAAAACTCGAGAACGGCTCAACCGATTTATATTTTCCTATACAAACGACTGATACGTGTCAAACGCACCCTGCGTTCAGAAATTTATTGCGTAACTTAAAAAAAAACCTTTGACATATTTAATTTTGAGGCGGAACAGAGTTTGCGGGTTCAGCTGTTAATTTCATATATCCTTTTAATTGTTAGCTGTCAAAATGACATAAACCCCCCATCTGGGAGACCTATTTACAGGACTTCTCACAGATGGGGCTACAGTGCCCGAGTGCAATAATTAGCTCCTTCGCAGATGAGAGGATATGACCGTCCCTGCCTCTCTCATTATGTGTACCACAGTGAAGTAAATTGGTGCATTGTTTGGTCTGGGAGACAAACTAGAGAAACTAGGGAGCAAAGGATATGTTGTTAGTAATGAGGATAGTAGCCCTATTGTCAGGTCGACCTCCAAGCGGTCCCGCCTATAAACCATAGTAGTCTATTTCTGGTGAACTCGCCACGATGGGCAACTCATCTGATTTCACGCTCATCCTATAATCCTTCACTGCTCCGCCCGCGTATGCCGTTACCGCAGGCGGGTGCACCATTCCATTATCATCTCTGAAAAAAGTGCTACTGATTTTCAGTTATTACCTACCTAAACTAAATGTAAAGGTGCTCGCATATATATACTAAGTTATTGGTGTACTATGTCATCAGGTGCCCAGCTGGAGTGCTATTCTGGTGGGTTTCCAGTTCCGAAGATATCGTGGAGACGTGAGAACAACGCCATACTACCCACCGGTGGCTCCATCTATAGGTACTGACTTATTTTCTATACTTATATAATTGTAATTAATTCTATAATCACTAGAATATCAAGTACATAGAATAATATCATTCATCATAAGGGGGGGGGGGGGGGTCCATAAATTACGTGAGGTGTTTTTTTTTAATTTTCTGTCCCTCCCTCTTCCCTGGTGAGATTTTATTGAACCGTAGGTTTTACAAAATGTGGGTTTCTTACATAAACGCGTTAGATTGTTAGTGGAATAGAAAAAAAGGCTTCGTGCTTTTATTAATCTTAATCGTATTACGATTACGCTTACAATCTGGATTAAATGGACCAAAATAGTATATATTGTTTTTGTTTCAATCAGAAAAAAATTACGTGATATTTGCCAACCCCCCCCGCCCTCTCCAACGTAAGATTGAGATGAGATTTGAATAATAAATAGTCTTCAATCATGAAAAATAATATTTTTTAGAGGCAACATCCTGAAAATCGCCCATGTGCACAAAGAGGACCGCGGCACGTACTATTGCGTAGCTGAAAACGGTGTCGGCAAGGGAGCTCGCAGGAATGTCAACTTGGAAGTGGAGTTTGCACCTATCGTCACCGTTCCGAGACCTAGGCTTGGGCAGGTACTATATACACCACCATCTACCTTTTTACTTAGTTTTTTTTATTATTACAGCAGAAATTATGTATATCGACTTCGCTTATAACGACTAACCGATTTTAACGACGTTATTGTTTAATCATGTTAAGGTTTCAAAGTCAGGTGCAAGAAAATTCAACCGTTTAGTGCGACTCCGGTTTAAGCGATCAACTGCTTATAGCAACCATATATATATATAATAAATATCATCATGTATGATCATATGTCTGCTTAAAAAGGACGCGTAATGTTTTGTTTACACAACCTACGCACTTATACCTCGTCTTCTTGACCCCTCGTATAAATCGCACGAGTAAGTCACAGTTAGTGTCTGCCACTTGTTATGACAAATTCAGCAAAATAAGTTTTGTGAAGCGAAAGTGTTTTACAATTAACGAAAAAATGCAATATTACAACGATTAGAAGCCGCGACACATGCGACCCTCGCAAAGAACTATTAAAATAAAATATCTCATCATAATTACTATAAATTGTGCTATTTACTTAAGTGGGAAAATCTAACCACATTTATATATATATGTACACGTATTCGTAAGTTAAGTACATATGTATATATGTACTTAAGAAATAATCCTGCCGTTTTGTGCGTCATCCGGTACGACATAGTGTCGCGCACTATGTCGTACCGGATGATGCACATGTCTCGATGTTCGTTCGTTATTGTATTGATGGTCGTTATATCCGGATTCTACATAAATTAATATCTACTGTCGATGTTTACAATGTCTTTGATTATTATTTCAATTTAAAATTCTATTTCTTAAGTTTATCTTTGTACTTTCACAGGCACTACAATATGACATGGATTTGGAATGTCACGTGGAAGCGTATCCTCCGCCAGCCATCATATGGCTGAAAGATGAAATCCAACTGTCCAATAATCAACACTATAAGTCAGTATCTATCAGTATTTACCTTTTAATTATGTTTTTAGATATATAGATAGATGGAATGTGCCCTATTTGCATTGTACCATAATAGAAGATATGTACAAATAATTAGTAAAGTAAACATGTGCGTATAAATACAACAAGGCAAGGCATTGCTGAAAGGAAGTGCCGTAAAAAAGCAAAAAGTAATATACCGAAAACCGCTAAAATAGATCCACTTTAGGAGCAAGTGTGTTGAAAAATAACCATGCGGTAACGGTTTACGCTGGTGGGACACCTGCGGAAGATAAGATGAGCATGAGGTCAGGTCAGTTAGGCCTATCATGAAATATTCAAGAACTAATAACAATGGTTTCCAGCTGGAACCGTCGTCAAGTTAGCCTGATATGATACATTGCTAAGGGGTTCAAGTACAAGTATTACGTTAGCAGATTTTTTACAATCATTTATCCCCCCTCTCCATCACCCTTGCAAGCAAAAGTAAGTTACCCCCTCCCCCATGCTTACGTAAACATTTTTCAGTGAATGTATTGGTTTTTAGCAAAGACAATGTGAGGGTTGCCATTCGTGTAAAAAAGTAAATAACTACCGATGACGTAATCATCATCTAGAGTCCCCTACCCCCCATGTCATCCAAAATAAGCAAAGCAAAGACGGGGGGGTCATTGCTTTGCTCCCCCCATAGTGATTAGATAATACTTGAACGCCCCCTAAGGTGCTCATTTTTTTTACATTACAGAATATCGCATTTCGCAACCGCAGACGAATTCACAGACACAACAATCCGCGTGATCACCATCGAGAAGAGACAGTACGGCATGTTCACTTGCAAGGCACAGAACAAACTCGGTTCTGATGAAGGAAAGGTGGAATTGTTCGGTGAGTCATTAAGCAGTAGCTAAGGAACGACGCCGCGCCGCATTCACAATGATGGACTATCTCGAATTGCATGCGTTATATTTTAAACGGATGGCTTTTGTCAATTTGTGTCTTTGACCTTTAAGAAATTAATTGTGCTTAAATGCAAAATTAATTTCTTAATTTAATTAATAAATTATTATTCTTAACTTAATTAATAAATACATAAGTATGATAAATAAAATAGGCCACAATATAGTTTTTTTTAAGGTAGTTTACATTTTATGTTGATTATTTGAGACAAATATAAATAATAGTTAATTATTATTGATAAATTATAGTAAATAATTTATAATTGTCTCAAATAATAAACTGTTTTAAGTTTTTGTTTATATATGTTTAACTCTAATAAATTAGTGCTAGATGGTAGTTTGTATTCACACGTTTCGATTTAAAAATGTAAACTTACAAAGACTATTTAAAAGAGCAACACACAAGTTTCTTGTGATGAGACAGCTCCGAATGAGCGTTAGATTATAAAAATGTGATGATTATTCAAAAGTGCTTAAATTAAGTTTATTTCAATAAAGGATTTTCTATTCTATTCTATAATAAAATGAAAATATGTCAACGGACACGAAACGGTCTATTGGAGTCAGTGAGGTCCACCCACACTGCTATTCTATACGACAATGACAGCATTTGTTTTTAAAACTGTCTTCTACGGACAAACTATTACTACAATATTTTCACGCAAAGTATATAATAAAGGTACAATAGGAACATAAGTAAATTCACAAATGCTAGCAAAGGCTACGGTAATAAATTTCTTAATATATATATATATACATATATAGACGTGCTTCATTTGTGAAATATTGGCGCGGTGTTATATGTATTTTTTTTTAAATATGTGATATACTTTAAGACAAATTAGTGATTTGTAATTCGCATCTTTTTTGTATGTAGTTAATTTTTTTCCATACAATTTCTTAGACTGTTTTTTTTTTAATTGTATGGTGTTAATATTATATACATGACGCCAGTGTTATATTGTTTATTTGAATATTCAGGTCAGAAATAAGCATGGCCAGATTTAATTTATATATGTTTTTTACAGAAACTAGTTTATTTCTTAAATTATTTTAAATAATGGAGAATATCTGCAGATTCAGACATTTTAAATTTTGTATCAAAAGCACTCGAATAAAAAAAATCTTGGGTCACAAAAGAATTAAAATAGATAAATGTTGAGAAATATATGATATTTATTGAAATTGCATTGTACTAATACTGATGTAGAGTGCATTGCCAGTTACTGAAGTCACTAGTTTTATATTTTTTCAGAGATAAACTTTAAAAGTTATCTGATATAATAGGTCAGTGACACCTTGCACCTATTACGCCTACTAGAGATCTCTAAATAGGAAGGTGAGATACACGATAAAATTCCTGGGTACAAAGGTAGCATCTTAGTCCTCTGATAACATATCAGGGGTCACATGATTACCTGATGTCTGCTGTTACGATATAGTCACTTAACATCAAGGGGGACAATTTTTTTGCCATAACAAATACAAATTAAAGTGTACGACCTTTGTCAATGCGATTTTGTTTATTGATCTGTGGACCTAATAATAATAATAATTTATTTAATTTTTGCTACATGGTTCAGTTTTGGATCTTGCTGTATGATAAAAGTACATGCAGGCTATGGAAATATTGAATGTCATAATTATTTTAATACAATGTCATTGAATTGAAATTCTTTAAATATATTATAGCTCTGATATTCTCCATGTTACAATAGCATGCTATTCGGCCGCATGCTAAGCGTATCGCATGCTTACAATATTTGTTTACGTAGAAACGATAATACCGGTGTGCCCGCCTGCTTGTGGTCAAACTCGCTACGGCCGCGGCGCTTCGCTCGCGCCCTCTAGCGCCGTGGTAGCTACAGCGCTCGCTCCGTACGCTGCGTACACTCTACAAAGGTGCGTATTACATTTATAACACAGTTTAACTGTTAGAGTGCCGCAGAGCTTTTTTCGTATCTTATTTTCTCTCCTCCCTCTGAAGTTGAGCCCCCGCAAGTGTGTGAGGCTATAGCGAAACCAAGTTGCTCAAGTATTTATGTAAGTGTCATACTTGGAGGTACAAAAACATATACAAAAATAAAAACACAAAAAACTACTTCTTTAATTGTATTCTGTTAGTTTTTAAATAACCCGTCCTAAGAGGCTTAAATCCAGCTACCCGGGCGTTGTTCCCCCCAGAGTTAATGCCGGGTTAGGCAAAGCTTACGCCTCGAGATCCCATCTTTTACGTCCCCTACGGGGGTGCGGATAAACAGTGTCAGTCACTGCCGACGAGACGTACTAAGGCACGCCGTCTAACTGTTTAGTACGCTGACGAGCAGGTTACTACACCGACGAGCGCCTTAGTACGCAAGGGAGCGTCTTAGAGTACTCCGACGAGCGGCTTAATACACTGACGAGCGCCTTAGTACGCAAGGAAGCGTCTTAGTACGCCCTCGTGCGCCTCAGTACGCGCACAAACATTGTCGCGTTCGTGACCACTCTGACAGTTAATCGTAATTGTGCCGATGCGAGCATAAACACAGGATGTTCTCGTTATTACCGCATGCTTTTTATGTATTACAATTAAAAATAGAAAACATAGTATTTGTAGCCTTTTGCAAGTTGTAAGTTTAATGTTTTTTTTAACCGTATCCTCCAGTTTGATTAGTAGATTTGAAAAGAACTGGTAAGAAATTACTGGTCTGTTTACACTACTAAAATACATTTGAGGGATAACCCTCAAAATTCTATTGATATAATAAATGCTTAACAGGATGGTAAAAATTGTTATCTTATTTTATAATTAAACTTATTTAAACAGCATGTTTAAAAAAGTTTAAGAGTTTCATTTTGAGTAGTTTAGTGGTAGTTTTTTATTTAAAATATGCGATGTACTTTAAACAAATTTTAACAATTTTTTAATGTAATGGGATAAATTTCAAGCTTTAATTTTCTTTTCTATAGTCCCATTTGACCATTAGATATATCATTTATATGTGGGTGAAAATATTTCAGTTTCATATATATATTATCTATGGTTATCAGGTTTGTATACTGTTTAAGACTAGTCTTGTATACTTACACGATTGTTTTTATCTACAGAATCGCCAGTACCCGACATTAACTACCAAGGTCTACGGCTGGACCCCCTCGTTTACGGCGAGCCAAATAGCGCTGAAACACCAACCATATCCTACACATATCTATTTTATATATTTATATTACTACAATATATATATTAATTCATAATTGACACAGGTCATTATGACTGTGTTTTGACGAAAGAATAACTCTTGCATGCAAACGCACAAGAAAATTGAACCTAATGATTTTTGTATTAAAGTTGTTGTTGCAAAAGAGACAATGTTGTGACATTTACATTTCAATCTTATTGTAAGGACAATTCAGTTTATTTTAAAAAGATTTATAGCTGAGAAAGTAATGAGTTTTGTACACATTATCGTATGTATATCTCGGTTTTTTAACATGAATTAATTAATGATATTTATAATATACACTTTACGGAATTAAAATCGTCCCTTTTTCTCTCCGGGGGCAATTCTCATTGGTATCAGCTCGTCCCTGAGGGAGATAGATGGGTAGTACCGGGCCTTACCCGTCGAAAAACCCTAGGGTTACCCACCCGTCCCTGAGGGAGGTAGACGAGTACTACCGGACCCTAACTGGATAAAAACACCAGCGTATCATTCACTGTCTATTGCTCGACTTGAAATAGCCCCAATTTGTTAGAGAATGATAATTTTTAAAACAGTTTTAACAACTTAGTCGAAATGTTAAGTAATTTCTGTTAAGATCCGACTCAAATACATCGATAAATAATATAGATTTTGTAATTCTTACTGTACGTAATAGAATAATACACGCTGTCTTCTTCAAAAGTATAAAGAGAGAAAAGGACAGCATACATGACAAATTAGGTAGTACGTAATCTAAAGTGTAAGCCTAACTTTTATACAAATAAAGTAATAATTCAAATTTTTGTACGAATGAAATTAATATCTATGTGTAGGTTCATAAGTGTATGTTTATTTTAAAAGCGAATTGCCAAAATGAATTTTGACTCCTTGTGAGAAGAGTCAAAATAGTATAAATTGTAATTTCTTTGTGTGTAAGAAATTGCTTTTAGCAAATAAGGGCGTTTTTTGTTAAACATATTCTTGCATTGTTTCTTTAACATGTCTAGTTGTATTATAAACTCGACCAAGAAAATTGTCTTATTAGTATTGTGGAAGGTCTAAACCCCCATTCTTGAAAACCCCGCTAAACTTATTTATTATTTTTGACGGCTTCGGTGGTCTAGCGGTTTAGGACACCGCTCTACTTCGAATGGTCGAGGGTTCGATTCCTTATACGGTACAAATGTATCTTTTAAAACCAGCGGTATCACCCGTATGAAATTTATTGCCTATGTGTTATTCTGAGCTATAATATCACTGTAAAGTTTCATGAAAGTCCAAACAATAGTTTTTGCGTTAAAGAGGAACGATAATACGACCGTCCATCCATACATCTATAATCAGAAACTTTCGCGTCTATATTATTAGTGAAATGCAATTTTTTTTATTATTTGTTCGTCATGATTTTAATGCATTTATGAAAGGTTGTGTCGAAACAAAACTGTTTCTAATAGTTTCTACCCCTTAACATCACTCTTAATTTTTATTCTTTATTTTCTGTTCTATTTTAAGTATCTGATATAGAAAAATAGATTAAAAACGCGGCAGTTAAGCCGAAACATGAATCTCCTTAAAACAAATCAAGCTTTAAAGATTTGACATTTACATATAAGTTTATATAAAAGTTAATAAAAAAACAACATATTACTGTTTATTACAGAACATCAACAATGAATGCTTGGTTGGCACCATTGTGATATAAAAAATATGTTTAGAAATATAGGTACCTGTCAATGTGTAAAGGTGAATCTACTCGATGGATTTACCGTTATTGACTCTACACCCATATCCCGACACGTGTTTCGGCGACCAAACCGCGACTGCCGATGAGTCAACACTAGGCTTCCGAGCTGTATCCAAACTCTAATTAACGCCTGATGATGCCTCGTTCAGAGGTGAAACACGTGTCGCGATATGGGTGTAGACTCAATAACGGTCGGAATCTGATCGCCACTGGAGAAGTAGCGCTGGTCAGGTTTCCACACCGAATATTCGTAGTCTCACACATGTTAATTGTAGCGGAATTAAACAAAATGATATAAATCCATCGAGTAGTCAAATGGACTTCCGCAAAATAACACCTAATTCGATTAAAAAAGTGAATCTTTTATACACCCAACAAGTTTGTCTTGACTGGGTTAATGTATGAAATTTAATAATATAATATAAATTTGACATAATTTAAGCTACTTATATAACTTACTTTACATTTTTAAAAGCTTTAGTTCACAATTATTAATTTTAATTCAAAATATTTTTATTCATTTAGGTCTATTACAAACACTTATGATATGTGAAATGTAACGTCGGTTCGGAATTAGTTGGTGATGAGAACTGACAAGAAACGCAGCTCGTATTTTAATAGTGATTATATGTTGTGAATCAATTAATGATTTTACAGTATAATGATTGTGAATCTCATGTATTTATGTACACAGTATGGTTTTTAAGATATGGACAAGAGACTGAAATGCTTGTAGCAGCGTCGAAATATCGGCAGTTTCCAAAAACAAATGTTCAGTCATTTATTTTTGTATTTTTTATAATGTATTTAATTGTATAATTAATGAATCTCCCATTCCAAATTGAAAGTGCCCAGTAGATAAAATATATTTTATAAATATTAGAATTGTTTGAATCATTCCGCCGACTCCAAATTAATGGTATAATGAATAATCAGATTATTATAATTGTATAAAACTCGTATAATTAAATATTTTTATTTAATATTATCGTCTCGAAAGAAATAAACTATTTTAAAACAAAGAGACAGAGCTGAAAATTGTGTGTCAAAGTTTCCCATTATTATAAATTAATTTATCCTAATTTACAATCGTTACAATAGTTAAAACTGTAGGAAGGTGATTTGGAATATGTTTATTTAAATAATGTTTATTTTTGTATGAGCGTACCCAGGAGGTGGGACCAGAGAAGGACAGCTGCCCCCTCCTGGAAATTGCACGATTTAAATATGCGTTAACTTTTGAAAAGTATATACAAAATGAAAAATAAATAAACCTCAGCGGACCTGCCCTACAGAACTCTGACTTGCCTCCCTCCTTATACCATGTACTGGGCACGTTCATGTACGTAGGTATCTATATGTATAGGGAATTTTAAAAATTTCAACTCGACAACACCAAGCATAACAATAATAAAGAGTCGCGGTAGTGACTAGTATTATATAAAAAATGGCTTTAAATTAACAATTGGCAACTGGGCGCATCTCTCGTAGACTGTATGATTCCATCCATTTTGTATTGTAGTTTGTATTTAGTTTTATCGTTTAAGTGTGTGATCTTAGTTTTGTAATTCAGCTTTTTTAATGTATCACATTATATAAACTATATGTTACACGCGTGAATATCGAAATCATTTGTATAAGTGCATACATTTATATATGAAATAATTAAAGTTATTAAAAAAAAACAAATATACTTAATATTATATCTGGCAGGAGCTTGACTTCTAGAGCTACTCTAGTAGCCTAGGTTCTACACGCATAATAGTCCAAATCAAAGCCTAAATGTGTATAACATTGTCCAATATATATATATACAAGTACTTATTACAGAGTTTTCTAACTAATAAATAATGACAGTAGCTTTAAACGAAAGATCAGTTTTTGCTGTTGAACTAATAGCAAAAACTGGATTTTCAGCCATTTGATATTTTTATAAATAAGGGAGTAAGGCAACAGTTTAGCGTTCACCAGAGTTTTTCAAACTAGATGGGGATTCAATTGGTGGGGTCACGAATCTTTACTCTAATGAAATATAGTTCATTTTAATATATGATCAAATTGGCCATCAAATTATATTGTGTTTAAACCTGTTTATACTCATATTTAACGTTTTGGACTGTATATTATGTGCGATGTATTATGTTAGTATTCTCACGCTATATATTATTTATTTTTGTACAACTTTATAATTATGTATCTTATACTTATATCCGTAATGTTTGTAGATTTTTGTTCCAATAAAAAAGTAATAAAATGTTTTTGTTTCATTGATACTGACTAGACCAGTGTTTGCCAACCTTTTACCCACTTTTTTTAGTACCCACCTTAACTTTTCTAAAATTAATTTCAATTTTGGTACTGTAACAGGGTTTATTAGTAGGGGGAGGGCTAAGGGATTAGTGATAAGAACAATATACACTCAGAATTGATTAGTGTTAAAGTAGATTTTTATGATTTTACTAGCCTAGTGGAACTAAACTTGTTATTAAAATAAAAGTTACTTAAAACTTCTAGGTTTTTCCTTACAAAATTTGCTATCTGCGAGTGAAAGTACCGTCAAAATTGGGACAGCAGTTTCAGACATTAGAAAGATCAGAGAGACAGACAATTTTTTAATGTACTGTTGTATACACTTTTATATACATTTAATGACAAGCTGTTAATTTGAAGTCATAAACAGGCACATGAATTTTATTTATTCGTACATATTTAGGGTTTTTTTTTTATGGATGATAATGGAATGGTGCACCCGCCTGCGCTAACGGTTTACGCTGGCGGGGCACCAGTGGAGGATGATAAGATGAACATGAGGTCAGAAATCGTGACAAATTCACCAGGCATTTATCACGATGGTTTCCAATGGAGGTCAACCTGACATGGTACATTGCTAGTAATGGGGTCATGAGTCCACATTACTAACAATCCCTTTCCCCCCCATATTTAGGGTTTATGAGAATAGAAAATTAACAATACAATTATAATTGAAAAAGTCTTTAATAGTAATATGGTAATAAGTTACAAAAATTACGGCTAAGTAACAACGATATTCATGAGACGGTGAGTATATATTATTTCAATAACAATATATATTTAACAATAACACGCCAGGTTTCTCGATTCTTACATCTCTAATTTTATAAATTTATACTACTTTCATAGGATAGTAGTTGCCCGCCCCCGATTTCGTTCGGGCTCGAACTTTGTGAGTTTTATATATGTTAACACGTCTACGAACTACGGGATATCTCAATAGTGTGTTTCCAATTTATTATGCAGCTACGATTAAACTGTGTTAATGTCTATAGGTGACTTTTGGAAAAATAAAAAATCAAAGCAATCATGCAGGCTTGCATGGACAGGAAATTTATTAAAAAACTAAAAAATATAATTCTTAATATTATAATAGTCCAAATTCAAGACACAACAATAATTTAATGTTAGTGGAAAGTTTTACAAACATTTTTTATGCTTTTTAACTATTGAGTAGAATAGATTTTTTTAAATAATATAATGTGATTAAATCAAATTATGATGTTGGCTCGATTTCTCAAAATTAGCGTGGCTATCAATGTGTTAACATAATATATAGTCTACATCATTCTGGGATGATGTACCTTTCAAACAGAGAAGAATTTCTTAAATGGGTGCAGTGTCCCAAAGCTTTATAATCTCATAACGAAATCAGCTTTTTTTAGTAGTATATCTTTTTAATATTAGAATATATTTAATTCGTACAATTACTGAATAGATAAATAACCTTCGACATATCATTTCATCGAATAACTTTTATTTTACTTGAAGGTTTTGTATTTGATAGATTCCGCTACCATTACCATGTGTGAGACCACAAATATATTGCGCGGAAACCTGACCACCACCATTGGAAGAGTTTTCCCATTAGTGTCCCAATTTTCGATGGTTATACGATGCTACACATTGTGACGCGTTTGGCCTCTAAATGACACATCATCAGGCAATGAATAGAGTTTGAATATAGGAAGCCTAGTGTTGACTGTTCGGTGTGATAGTTTGGTCGCTAGTAGCGGCGGTCAGGTTTGCCCACTGAATATTTGTGTTCTCACGCATACTAATGATAACGGAATTCATTAAGTCATTTAGACATATAACACAGATCCATTAGATCACAAGCAAAGTACAACTCGTACTATGAGTATAACTATTAAATATATTTAAATACTTTTTGGTAAGTACATATACAATATAAATAGAAAAACGTCCACACCAATACAAACACTCATGAATACATAATAGTTGTATTCGATTACAAAGATCGTAATTGTGCCATTGCGAATTTATACAATATGAAAATTCGTACACTAAACTAATATCTTGGTACAAAGTTTTTTCGTACAGTGTTGTACTATATCAAATTATGAATCGATTCCCGCTCCGTATTACAAAATTATTTTGTTACGCTTTTAATCTTTTAATTTAAACAGCTTTTAATGAGTGTTTATGTCGTAGCCTTGTCAAGCTGTGCAAGCTGGTGAGCTAGTCTCTCCTCCCTGGTCCTCCTTGCTTGTCCTAAGACTCTTTTCTCAGAAAATTTGGTGATAAATGTTTCAACTGGCATTTTACCTAAAAGAGATGATAATATTAGTTTTTTTTTATAAAGATATATTAAACTCTAATATATTTAGACATATATATATTACGTACGATATTTCTGATCTACAAAAAAAATAAAATTTTTAGATGGGCAGACTCATTAAAACATGATGCAGGAACACACAACAAAGCATCTTTCCAACTTCCAGATTATAATAATATCTTAGAACAATTCATACAGCGGCATCTAGTCCGAAGTTAAGCTTGTATTATGGGTACTAGATAACTGATATAAATACATAGATACATTATTTTGTAAATTGGTCATATTTACAATAATACTGTTTCATTTAAATTCAAATTTGTGAGAATAGAGTGACCACCAGCATATGCTATATAGAAAAAAATTTAAAAAATCTAATCAGTGTTCGCAACCTGAACAGACCAGTCCCCACAAGCAGACCAGACCGAGCCATCATTGCACTCAACAAGTATACTTATATACGTTTGTAACGAGCAATATGTCATTACTAAATTTAGAAATCTTTAACCTATGTCAATGAGAAAGTTATATACCTCAACCTTTGGAATAACTAAGGGGGTGTGCTACTTATATACGTAAATACAACCTTTAGACCACTGAGCATATATTAATAGTAAGCTTGTAGATATTTTTATGTGCAATGATTATTGGAAATTAAGTTATTTTCCTAATAATTAAGGTATAATGTTAAAAATACCTAAAATGAAATCTTCTGCTATATTCTCAGCATCCTCATCTGCTTGCAATGCAGCAACCTTCAAGCAATCCCTGATGCGATGAGGGTCGTACATGTCTGCCAGCTTCTGATATTTGCGATGCAACTCCTCACAGTTCATCTTCATCTGAACAATTGTTGAGATTCGGTCAATCACTTCCGTCTTCAAATCATCCAAAGACTGTTGTTTTGCGATGTTGTCCTGTGCGATGTGTTCAATGCTATTCATAATTTCCTCAGTCTCCAACTCCAATTGTATTAATTGTGGATTATTTTCTAATAATTTGTCCTGAAAAATATGTAAATAAATAATTATTTAAGCTTTATTTTCCATACAATTATTTTGGTTTCTTTATCCTCTCATCTGCAATTATTGGAGTTAGATACTAAAGCCCCATCTGTGGAGCATTTGAAACTGTGGTTATAAAAATATTGGATACTCCACCGATAGGCCCAAACCACCATCTGTGAGAAGTCCTCTAATTGTTCTCACAAATGGACCTTAATGTCATTTTGACAGCTAACAGTTGAAATGTTATATATAGTGCCATGTGGGTAACAGCCTCCCTCAACTTGCTTAATTATTGTCCATTTTTGGGTATTAGACATTTATTCCCATTATGAATTACAAATAATTCACTTAACATGAGAACTAAAAATATAAACAAACAAAATAAATATTAGTGGAAACATAAAAAAAGGTATATACATATAATGAAGACATTTGCAGCTACACTCATCCAGTTTTAAATAAATTTAATCATATTTTTCTTCTCCAGTATAGGTTGTCTGGAAGGACTACTTATGTGACAAAATCTCCTTTTGTACTACATTACTCTGATTTATGTTCTTTGTAATTCATTTCTGGTCCAATAAAGAGTTAATAAACAAACAAATATTGTATGCTGGGGGAATTACAAATACCCTCATCATATTATCCATTTATATTCATATGTACCCATAGTATGTATGTTGACATTATCACATTAAACTAAACCTGTATTAGCACTGATTTAATTAATTTTGTTTTCCATATTTTGTTTATTTTTTACTCTTACCTTAAATATAGTGTACAATTGACTATAATAATGACTAACAATATCCTAGTGCTAACGTACATGCATACATCAATGCATTGAAATTGAAAAATAGTCATAACACAGGAAGTTAAATAATATTATATTGACATGTATTTACAATAAGAACCTAGTAGAATATAGAAGTATATATATATACTTATATAGTATCTATAACACAAGCTCTACTTAGCTTGTGACTAGATTGGACAATTCACACATCATCTAGTCCCAAGCTAAGTGCATGGGATTAGATGATGTGTGATTTGTCCAGGGGTATTATTATTATATGAAATTACCTGTAAATCTGGATTCTCTAATATTTCCTGCAATTCATCAATATTAAACTCCTCTAATTCTGGAAACATCAACGATTGGACACTAACTTGTGATTGTGGACTTGTATCATTACATTTATCATCATTTGGTAATTTTGGCAACGACCTTTGAAACTCACGTATAATAGCTTGAACTACACGTCCTAAATCAGAATGCAAGCTGTAATTAACAAGGCCAGGAGCTCCGACAATTTGATTCGAGTTCTCTGCAATCCATGGATGTAGTACAGCGGGATTCACATATATAGAAGGGTTCTCATTGGGAAATTCGGGGCTTAGTACAACGTTTAAGCTCATATTTTTGCCATCTGCAGTAAATTCCACACTGTACTCGGAATTCTCATCGATTTCTATTACGTGGTCGTTGAAGATTTTCAATGTATCTATTTGCCGTTTTCTTAGATCCTGCTCGTTATAATACGATCTTGGAAGCATTTTATATCACTTTGTTAACAATTTTATTCAACAAAAAAAAACAGGACAAGAAAAATTACAAAGGTTTTCTGATTACTGGCAGAGCACTTAATTGAAGCAAACTATAGCGCAAAGTTTAAAGTGTATAGAATAACCTATAATTTTTGATACACTTTCTATATATAAACTGTTTAAATTAAGTTTAATTAATAGCAACTTTTTGTTAAAAAATCAATAAACACGAAACAATAACAGTAAAGAAGTGAAGAGATAAGTAATTTTTGAATTAACAATTTTGACATTGACACATTCATTGACTTTGACATTTCTCCTTGCAATTTTTCGTGGAACAGTAAGACCTTGATATTGTAATAACTAAATGACTAAATATGTCATTTAGTTATTACAATATCAAGGGTCTTACTGTTTTTAGACTGTTAATTATATAAATTAAAACGACGTGAAGAAGTATTTCCTAATTTGCGATTACCCATATTAACTCATTTATGAACAATTTAATTATGTTTAAATCAGCAATTATCTAATATTTTAAAGAGATTATTATTGACATTTTGCGATTATGCCTGATCTTTTTGAAATTGCGAAGTTTGCAGATACAATACAAGGTGCAAAGTTTTCAGATACAATACAAGGTGCACAGTTTGCTATTGCAGGCATAAAGTAAATAGATATGTTTTTGATTTTCCGTAACGAATGAAAGAAACTTTTCTACAGAGGAGAGTATTCATTATAATAAGTCTGATCTGCGATATTACCCGGGTTAATCAGTTCTCGAGACGCAAAAACGTGTATAAAAGTTCTACTAATACATTTTCTAATAATTACGAAACTATATTGATTTAAACTGTCGATGGGTCCATATACCCATCTTAAAATATGGACTGGTAATTGCTTTTACACCCACAAAACTGAACGGTCAACTTTATGCCGAACAAACTGGGTGTATCTAATTAAGACTGAAGATAACTGAAACGAACATAGTAATTAGTTATGCTATTTGTAAAGATGACATATTTACAAATAGCGAGGGGGCAGGTGGTCACGAGAGCCTCGTTTTGGTCGGTTTATTATTACAGTGGTAACATTGTTATAGGGATTGTCACAATTTAGTTATTCTTTTAACACATTAGGGACATGTAGAAAGGATAAACAATAAAACACACAAGTAGGTATTTGGCAGAAAAAAGGTAAGTAAATATTTATTATAAAAGTAAATTAATTGATTTTGAACACAGCCTTAGCAATATTTCCTACTTTCAGATCGTCCAAAGCATTTTGGTATTGAGACAGAGCGTATGTTTTCACTCCTAGCTTGTGGTAGTCCAGATACCTGAAAAAAAAAAACGATTTAATCCATAGAGTAATCAAAAATAATTACAAATTTTGTAATTCTTCTTTTTTTATTATCTCTTTAACTAAAAACCAATATTTTATTTTCTTCTTGATCTTGCAGATACTTCAAAATAAATGAATGAATTGTTTGCAAATATTATTACACTATTTATTTACTTAACCTTAATGCACACAATAAAAGAGGTACATTTGGAGGACTTAACGCCTACCATACAAAAAAAAAGAAATGTCCTGTAAATTAGCAACTTATACATAACTTATACAAATCGTATAACCTTATAGATATAACAATATTAAGTTACCTTCCACCCATCGCATTGAGCCATCCAATCGCCTTCGGGAAACTGAATGGGTTAATCTTTACACCGATCAGAGTCAGTTCCTTATTGTATATCTGGAACGGATTCACTCTGAAAACAAATGAAAACAGATAACCATGAAATTTACGGGTACAAACAGATGTATTTATGAGTATAATTTTTTGCATCTGGATTTTTTAATGTACCTGTATTATATCTGTATTTACAAAAAAAAAAGTATCTAAGTATTTATATCAGGTGTATGGTACCCATAACACAAGTTCTGCTTAGCTTGGGGCTAGATGACGCTGTGTGAATTGTCCAGGGATATTATTATTGTTATTATGAACAACTGTATAAAGTCGTAGTATAAACCTCTGTATAATTTATTTCTGCCATAAAACCGTTTCCTTTGTAAGCAATGAATCCGTTTTAAAGGTAATGGTATTGAAATTTGAAATTGAAATAACATCCTAGTTAAAGTAAGAGCCGATGGGACTGTCGTGAAGACATGATATCTTGAAAGCTGCTCATTTGTACAACAGACGGTTGCTAATTTCAATTTAGTATGATTATTTCTAGTATATGTACAATGAAATATCATCAAGGAATACCTTCTTTTTAATTTTGTCAAACAAGTTATTTCAGGCCACGCGAATAAAGTCGCAGGTAAAATTGAATGTTTAAAATAAGGATTATACTCACGAAGCCTGGTGAGCTGGCGGGCAGCATCCAAACAGCACATATTTACCTCCTGGAGTAAGGTAATTGAAGGAGATCTCCATCACTTTACCCACGCCTGTTAATGAAAAAAGGCACCTTTATAATTCATAGCATATTAGAAGCCCCACGGCCTTAAAAATGGCAAGGGAATCTATAGGACGTGAGATAGAAGAGATGGTAATGACTATGATAAGGATGGTAAGATGATGATGGCAATAAAAAAAAAATAGGTACTTACCAGTACAATCAATAATGACATCGTATTGTATCGTTTCCGAAGCCAACACATCGGGCGTGACGAGTCTGTAACCGGTTTCTGAAAAAATATAATTTATTTATTTACAAAAAAATATTTCAATGAATTTATTTCAAGGGCGATACACGCCCATCGTTTAGTAACATAAAAAAATCAACATCAAACCGGACCATTGCTGCACAACTCCACCAGATATGGTGCAGCAATGGATTGTCTTCCACGCTGTCCCTGGAAATCATCCTGGTTAATTCCTAGCTTCCTTTCCTGGCTCATCCTATCATCTTTCACTGGAGCCCTACTAGCGAATACCGTTAGCGCAGGCGGGTCGATCATTCTATATTGTTCCATCAAAAAAATACCTTTATAATGGTACATGGTACTGATTTTCTGCATCTATTGCAAATAGTAAATAACCGACCATGGTGTTGATGTGTCATGGTAAGATTTTTTACCACCATCATAGTATAAAAAAAATCAATTGCGACTATAGAATAGTGACTACAATTAAAATATTGATATTTTGTATTTAGATCCCAAAAGCTATCTATTGTAATTTTGTATTGTTTGTTGTATGCTGACCTAATCTCTTCACTATTTCTAATCTGGACTTATTCATCTCGGATACTGTGACGTCTCTGTGGCCGTGATGGTGGAGTGTTGTCACCCATAGATTTCCTGTAACAAATACAATACCGTGAGTATCATTTCCAAGTGGTTAGCAATACGATTTAGCATCATTATATGTCTTTTAATATTTATATATACATATTGTCTTTATTTAACTTGTCTTGTTTATTATTCATTTCTTTTGCCGATATTATCCTATCACCTGTCTTTTAGCAACAACTAGCTTGTACCTTGTTACTATGTTATTATTCTTGTAATATATGTATGTCTGGTGCAAAAGAGTATATAAATAAAAAAAAAAATATTCCGATGGATGGCGGGTTAAGACGACTGAACTCAGCTCAAAAAAATCACCTAATAAAATATCGTAATATAGGGCAAGTGCAGAAGGTACTGAAATCTGTTGAAGTCGAAATTATTCCGATCGATTGAGTTTTAAGTCGACCGAACTCAGCTCTAGAGATTCACCCATTAAAATGTCATAATCCAAGGCAAGTGTAGAAGGCACTACAATTCTGCTGAAGTCTTTATGACGCAGCTGACAGTAAATTCCTGTCTTCAGACAGGATACAATTTCAGTGTACGTGCGATTCGAACCTCAGCTCTGGCTGTCCTAATTGTGATCCCCGGTTGAATAGGACATATGGGAGGGAAAACTTTGCATATATAGAGAATAGAAATTATGACTACTGTTTTATGTTTAGCGTGATATGAGCGACTTAGGGCCATTTCACTGTAGAAGACCAGTTGTTACAAAATAAATATAAAATATATGTATGTCAGAGATTACAATGCTATTATGTAAATTTTATCTTTTTTTTAATGTAATAAAAACATAAGTATGTTTATAAAAGCGCATCTGTTATTATATTTATGATGTTATTACAATTACTTAGTTAAGGTAAAACATTAATGAGTGTGCGTTTACATTTATCTGTTGTTTTGGAGGAGTATGGCAACTAACACTTTAACATATATGTGGAGATTTTATATATATGTTCCCACATATTTTTGTGTACTTTTGAATAAATTCCGGTAGCTCGTTCTTCGTCTTTTTATTAACACAAAATATTTTTTAATAGTAACACGTCGTTTCCTCTTTTTAACATGTTCTTGATAATAGTCCATTCTCTCAATCACTCCTTTTCACTCAACACTCTTATGACATTCACTCATTCTTTCATACTTAACTAAGTTAATACTACAATTAATTTAATGGTGTTATGGATGCATTTCCTAATATTTTAAACTATCCTTCATATATATATAGATATAAATTAAATATTTTTTCTGATGGAGACTTAATTATCCTAAAATATTGGAGAAAATTATAAGATTTTACCAGTTCTTCTCAACTGACGTAAGCCAGCGAGACGGTAGGTAAGTGATAAAAAAATTATGACGTACAATTGAGGTCGGAAGGTGATTTATGAATAAATATTTTTTGTTTTGATTTGGGATTTTGTTTATAAAAATGAAATGGCAAACAAGCTAAGGATCTATGATATGATATCTCTATATGAACTTCTCATGCCTTGCCTTCCTGAGGACTTGTAGAGGTACAGCACAGTCTTCAAGAAGGCCCGAAATTTATCCTAATTTTATTCCTGAATTCAAATTGATAATGATTACGAATATACTGTTTTAAATTTGACACTGTCGTTATACGTATCTTTAGTAAAAATCACGGGATCTTACCACGTTTTTTTTATTCAGTTCCCGATATTTCGGCAGTGTGTCAACCGCCATGATCACGTGTGAACTGAATTTTTCTTTAATTTTCTTAATTTTTTCTTCAATCAAAATAAACTGTGGTAAGATCCCGTGTGTTTTATTAACTATAAGTATAAATATTTACGAAATTTCAAATTTTAATGTTCTGAGTTACCCAGCAACATATAGACATGTTAAGCGTGTTGACATGCCATTGTATCTGTGCGTTTGGAACACTTAAATTGTTTAAAAGGGCGATTACATACTTCCTCAGTGTTTCATGTGTTTAAATAATATTATATCATATGTCATAACACTACATAATAATAAAGTTGTTATCGTGAAACATGACATACAGTAATAAACATATAATAATCCAATGATAAGGCACAATTATTATATCTTTATACTTATATAACACTAGTTGATGCTCCTTGCTTTACACGATGCTTTTTATGGCTACTGTGGAATTATCAGAAATTTTCCTTTACGTTTCATATGGAACTCTATGGAAATGATGTGATAAGTAGAGGGGATTAATAATTGGACTTTGGTATTAGTAGATCCATTTTTAGAGCAAAATAAAAACTATCCCCCCCCCCCCCCTATTTAAATTTTTATATTTATGTATTACGTGTACCGTAATAATTCATATCTTTTAATAAATAGTAGTTATTTTTTTACTTTGCACGAATGCATTACAAATCTTTGAAATACATGTATTGTACATGTTTATTTGTATTTATTCCTCTTGAATCACTCCATCTATTGCTGCATTAAAACTGAATCAAATCCATTACGTAATTTAAAATATATAAGCGAATAGACAGCGGGGGCCACTTTTTTTTATACTATGTAAGTTAGTTGCTACTGACTTAATAATAATACCATTATTAATTATTTTAATTTTAATATGTATTATTATTTATTCTCGGTAGTATCGATTATAATAATACATTTATTTATTTAATGTATATTTATAATAATACCTACACTACTTCCATAGGTACATAGTTAGTTTGTTACATGTTTTTCACTAAACTACAAGTGTATGGTGTTCATATTTCTTGTTATGTTATTATTCTCAATGATGACCTGAGCTCTTGATAGCCTGATAAATGGGTGGCACCATAGATAAGATACAATAACTATTATTAGGGAAAACAGGTTGCTACTAACGGGTTATCTGTATGGAAATTAAGAGTCTGTGGTTTTAATATGTTATTTTATTATTGTTACCATGTAATATTATTACAAAATAACTATACTAGAAGACAGTTCAAAGTCATTTTTAAACTTTTGTGTTTAATATACATTATTTATATTATTATCCGGATCTTAACACGAACTTGTAATTTTATGGCAAATAAAGATTTTTACCTCTTTCGACGTTTCGACTAGGTTGCACTAGCCATGGACACGAGCTGATAGCAACTCGTGTACAATACTGTACAAAGTCGTTTCGAAATGAAATGAAATTATTTATTTTGTAAGGAATGTGGTGTGGTGGTTATAAAATGGGTGTATATATAAGGATATATATGTATGGTTCCATACAATACTCCTTATGTGAAGTCACGCAAAATTATGTTACATTTTAACTTCTGTCTTAGTGGATAATATTCTGCCGTCAGCTACTTGCTTAACAAATCTTCTGCTTGGTGAGATATGTCAGAGAAATTGATGGGTACGGAGGCATAAGAATTGGCAACGTATTGGGTACTACGGAGAATATTTTGTGATGTCTGTTGTAATATAGTAAAATAGTTACCGTCGACTATAGACATGTATAGGTAGGTCTATAGTCGATCTTAACAAGTAGATCACCAACTTGTTTGCTATTATAGTTGCATAAAACAAATGCGATTAAGTTGTTTTTTCATTAATTTTTCCAGAATGTACCATGAAACTCTCTATTACTGCGTCAATAAGGCTATCTCCCAAAATATACTTTTGGGAGATAGCCTTTCAGTATAGCTGGATCTAGGTATTTCGTGATTTCTAAGGTACATAAAGGTATGACAATATTGTATTTATATAAAAATCTTACTGAATAAACAATTTCATATTATTACGTTGATAAAATACTTTTTAAAGTTGTTATTTTCTACTATGAGTTCGCAAGAAAAGTCAAAAGGCACAAACTCGATGAGGTATATTTCTGAGGTACGTTTCTGATATTACTTTATTATAATTTTTTTTTTAATAAATAAAAGTTGTAATAATCTTGCTGGTAGGTACGGTGGTTCATCACTGCTTTACTCCCTAATATAACGGGTTTAATTCCCGCACAATGCAGATAGTTGTATTAATGAGTATGGATTGTATTGCTTTGTCGTATTTACAAAAATGTATTCAAGTATTTCTATCAGTATTATAATACCCATAGTTCAAGTTGCGCTATCTTGTCTCAAAATAACCAGAACTTGAACTATGGGTATTTTGAGACAAGATAGCGCAGTGTGAATTGTAAAGGGATTTTATTTAGTATTTTTAATACGATCTGTAATTTAGCTAACACTCACCAATAATACCGGCTCCAACAATTAGTATCTTCTGTCCAACAGACAAAGGTGCAGCGCGGTCGAAGCCGTGGGACACGCACGAGTACGGCTCGCACAGACCAGCTGCAAGCAGAGAGGGAGTTAAAGAGTGTTAAAAAACGACATCAAAGTCTATTAAACAATAAGGTTTATATTTGATGCGTTACTTAAAATAAATCTTATTATTAATCCTCCAAAAAAGATAAAAACGGGTGCTGCTTGTGGGGACTGGTCTGTTCAGGTTGTGAACACTGATTAAATTTTTTGTTCTTTGCGATAGCATATGCTGGTGGTTACTCTATTCTCCCAAATTTGAATTTTAATGACTGTGTATTATAATAAATATGTCCCACTATTATTTGAAAAAAATACGAGCTGTATTTCTTGTCAGTTCTTCTCATCTTGAAATCATTCCGAACTGACGGTAGATTTGACATATCATAAGAGTCTGTAATAGATCTACATGAATCAAGATATTTTGAATTTGAATTTGAATTTGATATCTTTAATCTCCGGATTTATGTATCGGACGATTGTGTTTTGTTTTGTTTGGTTTATTTTTCTCACTAAACAAATCTTATCCTAATATAATATAGGGTACTGGCACCAGTAGTCAGCCTTTTAGTGGTAAGTCTGGGTTCAAACTTATATAAGAAAATATTAGAAAGATTAAATTGAAAGTCTTTTGTATAATTTAACTTACTAATTTATTAAACTTTGTTACAAAATTAACAAAAATTACAAATTTATCCTTTAATAAAGTGAAAAATACTTTTTAACAAAATAAGGCACTTTTCACCAGTGCTTAGCCGCCAAAAACTAGTACTCAGCCATATTGCCACCAGTGGTCAGCCTCTCTTAAGATCAATAGTTTCAAGCTTAAAGATTAAGAACATTAATAAATAATTAGTCCGGTCATAGAAACTAAAAGGACTTAACTGTGCCCTAACAATCACAACAATCAAATACCTATCTAACTTATATTTAAATCAGTCGGAAACTTCTTTAGTAACATCAGTATTTAAAAAGATTTCAAGTTCTTCTTTTTCTTTCTAAAAGTCGCCGATTAACAATTTTTTAGGAGCTTATCTTCCTTACAGGTTTCTGTGTCAGGAGTTTCAGGATATAGAAGTATATTACTGAGAATTTTAATTTTATTTTGTTTTGATTTCCACTAAATCACAGCCTGTCTTTGTGTATTTTACGCTCAATTCCTTATCATAATCATAATTTTTCTTCTTTGTAGTCTCCTTCACTTTACTTTTGGTAGAATCTAGAGCTGCTTTTTTTCTTTTTTTGTATAAAAAACTATATAAAAAAAAATTTAAATATGGACGATTGAACACTGGGTCTACTGTCACCAGTACTCAGCCATGTAACAAACTCTAACTATTTAAGTGGCCGACTATTGGGTTTTTGACAAACAGCGTTAAAACCAGTAGTCAGCCAAGGGTGGTTGAGTACTAGATAATGTATATAAAAATGGGACCCAGTAGTCGGCCACTTCATTATTTAATAATTCTTAAGAAAAACATGATACTTTTCATTGATTACAATGCCAAAAGTCTTAATTAATGTAAATTTTAATACAATGTGGCCTAAAATTAACAAAAAAATGAAATAAATTACCATTTCTGTGAACGCTTCTCACTAATAAAAAAATGGCGCGCACGCCGCATGTCGCCTCGTCAGCCGATGACGTCGAAATAGATTCATATTTAATGTACTTCGCAGCCACGTAGCTATTATGTTTGGATTTAATTCTAGCAATGAGAAGTCATAGAAGCTATTTAAAATAATTTGGTTAGGTATTTTCTGTTATAGCGCTATTCCTATTGGTTTTAAACCGAAAAAGGCTGAGTACTGGTGCGGGGCCGACTACTAGTGCCAGTACCCTAATGTTATAAATGCAAAAGTTTGTAAGAATGGATATTTGTTACTCTTTCACGCAAAAACTACTGAACGGATTTTGATGAAACTTTACAGTATTATAGCTTATAAATTAGAATAACATATAGACTATAATTAATTTTAAACTTTCGTGTTTAATACACATTATTTAAATTATTAACCGGGTCAAATTTATAGCCTATAAATTTGACCCGGGTCAAGCCGCGGGTACAGCTAGTAATTGTATAATATAGTAGATGTATTATTACAATTATTTATTATAACAATATATTTTTCTTAATTCACATCCAGGGTTGGTCGTAATAGTTTATAGAACCTGGACAAAATTTCACCAGAAGTGATCCATAAAATTATAATTTTGTTAACATATTTTCAATTTGTCATTTTGCTTTCTTGAATAAAGTGATTTAGTATTCTGAGTATTCTTTCTGGTTGTTGGTTTGGTATATTATTATCTTGTGTATAATGTAATAACATATCTATTTGTCCTATGATTTGTACAAAAAGAATGTTGTTATTATCAAACGCGTTTTTATATTTTCGTAGAAAATAACATTAACGAAAAATTGCTATGTGGTTAATTTGTATGCGTTCGAGGTGGGAACGAGAGCTATACTAGCGTAATCTCTCCAGAATCTTCTATATGATCGACGTACGTCAAAACTCACCGTCACCGCTCGTGTATGTCTCCGTGTCCAGTCAAATCTGGTAGGAGTCTGCTAGTTACTGCTTTAGACGTTTTTTTTCCTTTCTTTTCTTCCCGGATGTCAATTTCCAGGCTCTCTACTTATTTAGGGACTATTCTAATATATATATATATAGTTTCTGTTAGACTCAGTATTGTGCTGGTATAGTTCTCGCAAAGTTCCCCTTAAATCTACATCCGGGCCACAAGTCCCAACTTACAACTTGGAGTTTCCCTCTCTGTGACACGATGGAGCTGGCTCCCGGACGTTGAATGGAATGCTAAGAAGTTCGTCTCATAAACTTACCCTGTTCCAATGTGATGCCACTAGGTAACGCAAAGACCTGGTCTTGCGGTGCGAGCACATACTGCGCCCAGCCTCCATTCCGCCATATTCCAATAGTACTGTTGATGCCGGCCGTCAGACAGTACTGGTAGTTAGCGCCCCGACAGAACTCACAGAGACCACAAGCCCTGCAGACAAATATATTCCATACACAATACTAGAAACTATTATTTCAATTTTTTATTTTTTTATAATGTCGCATCATTACATAGTATATAAAGTCGCTGTCGCTGTCTGTCTGTCCCTATGTATGCTTAAATCTTTAAAACTACGCAACGGATTTTGAAGCGGTGTTTTTAATAGATTGGTTTATATATATAATATATGTACACCCTTCAGAAGCCGGGGCGAGTAGCTAGTTAAAATATATATAAAAATAAATGCAATCCTAAATTTTCACCTATCTGTCATCAACCCCTATTTTTTAAAAGCTATTTTAATTTACATAGCAAAACAACGTTTGTGGGTCTGTTAGTATATATAATCCCATCAAAAACATAAATGTGAAATGATAGCCGAGTTTAATATTATAATATATGCCTTGATTTTTGACTTCTACGACAAAAGAGATGAGATCTAAATGGGTGCCAAGTTCAATGGTCTGTCCTGAAATGTATTTATAACAATATAAAATATCATTTCTTCTTAAAACTTAGGATAATATACTGTAGCCTAAGGTCTAACTTGGCCAGTTCTCATATACCAATTTTTACTTTCGATTGCTAGTTACTATTAATATTAAAATAGGAACCGACAAGTAACATGTTTAGAATAGTTTAAAGTACCTGTTAGGGTCAACCACGACCTTCTGTCCTTTCTTGAAGATGGATGCCTTGCCTGCCTCGTAGATTTCACCGCTGAACTCGTGACCAAGTGGAAGTGGTCGCTCTTTGGAAGCTGGGAACTCGCCCTAAACATAAAATATCACCGTCAAAATGGAATTACAGCTTCAAAATGGAAAGCTTACAGACCAAGTTAATGTCAGCAGAACTAGATGAGATTGAGTTAGCTACGAAGATGATTTCGTACAGTTCTCAACAGGTAACGTTTCACGACCATTTTGTACAGAAGAGAGTTAGTAATGTACACTAATATTATTGATAGTTAACTACTATGTAGGATGACTGGAACACTTGGTTTCCTTGGTTGGTTGTCCTGGAAATCATCGTGATAAATTCCTTGTGAATTTGACTCGACAGGCTACCTGACCTGATCTCATACTCATCTTATCATTCTCCACTGGTACCCTACCAGCGTATACCTACAGTTAGCGCAAGCGAATGCACCACTTCCATATCATTAATTTAAAATCTCTTTTGTATAGTTTTTTACACTTAAAATAGAGATAAGGTAGCACAAATATAATCATAGTTAACAACTAAATATTTATACAAGAAGATTAGAAATAATTTTAATCAGTAAATTTACTACGTAAACTAAATAAATTAGTTAATTGAATCATATAAACACAGAAGGTATCTTAGTCGATATAGACTTTCATAAAATTGTCTTTGCTTTACAAAATTGAAATAAAAAAAGAAAAGAATATATATTTATATGATACACATATGCAATGTAAAAACACAAAAAATAATATGAAAACAGAAGAAATCTTCTTCTTAATGTATAAAATTTTCGTGTCACGTTGTTTGAAATACTGAACAGATATTTGTGTGACAAATATTTGTATGTATTAAGTATACATACAAATTTTAGTACAAAATTTAGTAAATAGTAGATCTGAGAATATCAATATATCATAACCATAAGTAATAAGGGTAGCACTCCCTAAATTTTATCCTTTATTTTCTTTTTATAATTCGGCATTAAAAATAGATATATATCAAAATATATACCCATCTACCTTAAAAAGACGTTTTTAATAGCAATATTAATTTTTATGTCAAAACAAAGTATGTCTGGATAGCTAGTTTTTATTATATAATTCTGAGATCTCACCTGAATGATATGAAGATCTGTACCACAGACTCCCGAGTACGCCACCTTCACAATGACATCTGTGTCGTTAACCAACTTGGGTATAGGGAACTTGTTCTCATACTTAAGAGTTAGACTTTTACCGTCAAACACTACTGCTTCCATTTTGATTTATGCTACAAGAAATAAAAATTCCAGATATAAGTATAAAAAATAACATAAATGAAACATTACCAATATACAATACAATATTGACAGCCCCGGTGGTCAAGCGGTTTAACACACCGCTTTACTTTCGATGGTCGTGGGTTTGATTTCTCGCACGGTGCAAACATTTGTATTCAATTACAATGTTTCTTGAATTTAAATGAAATTCAGATAGAGTCTATAATAATACTTACGTTATTTACCATCATAATCACCATATGATAAATATTATATTTAAACAACTAATACCATGCATTTGAAGTTAGGGATAGTTATAGAAAACCTACTTATATATGAAATAGTAGTATGTAATTGAAAACAGTTACTTAAATATATTAAAATAAAAAAAAGTTGTTTATATTATTTATATAGATTTTTTTGGCTCATGTCTATGGTTCACTTTATTTTATTTCTAATTAGTTCTAGTTAACTTAGGTATAAGAAATAAATACAGATTTATAATATTTATATAGAATTTTTTTCGTGTCTATGGTTCACTTTATTTTAATGTCAAATAATTGTAGAATAAATTGTTCACTTACTAACTACACAGTAAAGCGTCCCGTTCAACTGGAAGTTATCAAATGGTTAAATCCTCAACGTGTTTATAATGTATGTAACATCATCACAAAAGGGTATCAGCAATATAAGATTTATCTTATCTACGAATAAAGTCGTTTACTGCCGTTTCGTTCGCATAGATACTATTTTTTTAGAGCATTAATTAATATAACAGGGAAAAACTCATTTTTTGTGTGTTTAGGTAAATACCTGATATTTTATACAACCTTGTTGCTAAATAACATATACTATTGTCTACACTGATATTATAGAGATATATTTTTTTTATATTATTGGAATGGGAAACAAACTGACGGCCTATCTGATAGTAATAATAATAATATCGCTGGACAATTCACACAGCGCCATCTAGTTCCAAGCTAAGCAAAGCTTGTGTTATAGTAATAGACAACTGATATAAATACTAACATTTTTTTATGTTTACATAATATACATAGAAAACATCCAAATAGATACAAACAATCATACTCATGAATTTTAAGGTTTACATAATATACATAGAAAACATCCAAATAGATACAAACAATCATATTCATGAATACAAATTATTGTACCATGCGAGGAATCGAACTCGCAATCATTGAAAGTAAAGAGGCTAAACTGTTAAACCACCGAGGCCGTCAAGTGACAATCCATAATTCCATGTAAATTAAGCGCCACGGAGTTGACGTGGTTGTATGACGTCCCTTGTATGTATGCGTTACCATTGTCTATAGGCTACGGCAACCGTTTACCATCAGATGGGCCGTATGCTTGTTTGCCACGTACATGGTATAAAAAAAATCTAGAGGACTAAGTTGCAAAGTACAGAAGCATCTACTCTATCTCAAAGCAAGCTGTTTACCAGCTGAAGTAGGTAAGGTGCTCACGCAGCACGATTTAGTAAAAATTCTACCTTGCTACACTATATACAAAGTTGTCTTTTGAACGTCGCGTATTTTGTTAATTTATTCATCTATATGCAAGGATAATCTCCATATCCACTGTACCTAGTTTATTTCTAGTATTGTCTCGTAACAGTTAATAAGTTAATGGGAGTAAGTGTGGGATGAGGAAGGGATATGAATGTACTTCAAATGTTGTGGAATCGTGGAATAGAATGTCTCTATTGCCTCATTGAAATGTTTGACCCACTGATGTATGATGACAAAACATCGTTTTTATGGGAACTAACGTGATATTAAATAAACACATAATACAGATAAAATTCTATTTTCAATTCAATACAATTCAATTTATTTTAATCTAACACAAACAAAACAAAACACAACACATAACGGTTTTGAAATTATAATTATTCCAAATATGCCGTGTATTTTGACCGACCTCGGTGGTGTAGCGTATCTATCGTATGTATCTAGCACCCGCTTTACGACCGATGGTCGCAGGTTCGATTCCTCGCACGGCACAAACATTTGTATTCATGAGTATGATTGTTTGTATTGGTCTGGATGTTTTCTATGTATAATATGTATGTATTTACGAAAAAAAAAATTTATGTATTTGTATCAGTTATCTAGTACCCATAACACAAGCTTTAGTTAGCTTAACTTGGGTCTAGATGGCGCTGTGTGAATTATCCTGAGATCAGATATTATTATTATTATTTTGGCGTGTAAATTACAAGAATATTTTGTAAATGTCAAGATTTAAATTGTCATTTCAAATTACATTATTAGTATAAAAATTAAAAAAATAAATACATTGTGATTCTAAAAAAAAATAACATTTATTATTATTATCTATGACATAAATACACAATGTTTAAATAATACTTGTATATATGGAATAGCATTTATTTAATCACTGTGTAAATAGTTTAATTTTAATGTCTTAAATAAACAATCTGGTAGAGCTCACTGTACCATGGGAAATAAATATACTTACTTAAAGACCATGCAATAAAAAAAACATATATTAGGTACGAACTAATATTTTTGACGACAAATGGCTATGTGGTTTATTTATATGCGGACGAAATGGAAGCGAGAGGTATCAGAAAAATCACTTTACAATCTTCTAAAAGATCTTGTTCTGTCTAAAACTACAGTAAGTAATACTGGAACGTGTATCTGATAGAACGTGTATCTAAAGCTAGAACTAGTAGGTTTCTACCAGATTTGACTAGGCAAAGAAGCACGAGCGGTGAAGGCGAGTGTTGATGACCCCTTAAACCAACACCCGGGTCACAAGTCCCGGGACCTGCTCGGAGTTTCCTTCTCTGCCACACGATGGAGCCGGCACCCGCACGGTGAATCCATGGAATATGGGGAAAAGGGGATTGTTAGCAATGTAGACTCATGTACTCATTACTAGCAATGTACTATGTCAGGTTGATCTCCACGCGGTTCCCCCTTGGTGAATTTGTCACGTTCTGCTAACTGACCTGACCTCATGCTCATCTTATAATCCTCCACTGGTGCCCCGCCAGCTTAAACCGTTAGCGCAGGCGGGTACTCTTTTCCATTCAATAAAAAAAAATCCATGGAATCGTAGGAAGTTTGTCTCATAATAAAATAAAATTTTACTAATATTCGTTGATGTACATACGGCTACATTAATAAATATAGCTAATACATATTAGAGATCAACCTTATCTAAAAAAATGCCTTGAACTTAATTATTATTTGGTTTGTAATCATTTGTACTCGTTTATTGTTATTATCTATTGTGTATATATTATATTGTCATTGATTATGTAAGCAATTTACCATAGATTATTAGTTACTAAGGTTATACCATCATCGTGACGCAGTGGTATTGGTATGCTGTTTTACATAACGTAGCTCAGGTTTCGATTCTCAGTCGAGTATATTTTGGTAACGAAATTTACTATATTCTTTAAATGATCTAACTACTATATATAATTGCATATCCCTTGTATTTCTGTGATAAGAACAAAATCTTAAGTAAAGTTTAATCATTTAAATTAAAGATAATGTACGTAAATACTTCGACATATTTTTTTTAAGTACTTACTAACTTAACTAGTCAGGACTAAATGCGAAAGTATGCGATGCGATTTTGAAGTGAACTACATATACAATCATAATATAAATTTAATTAAAAAATATTATATAAGTTTTTTTTTATATTTGCTGCAATACCTTATTATAAAAATAATTAATCCATACATTCATACATACTACAATAAAAGTGAAAGGGTATCTGTATATTTTTTTTATTTATTCACGACTAAATATCGGAATGGGTCATAATGAAATTTGACATAAAAATAAGTAATATACTCGTATTAAGTACAGCAAGTTGCCGGTAATACTATAAAAAAAACATAGGAGTACTAACAGTGACCCGCGATTTAGTCTGAACAAACTTTAATCCTCTATTTCACTCATTTCCAATTTTTTTTAACATAAAACAGAGCCTAAATCCTTACTCGTAATACAATCAAGTTTCATATTAAACTTAATTAAGATACGTTCAATAATTTCGTCATATAAAGATAACAAATACAAACAGACATATTTTCCCACTTATAACATACGTATGGAGTAGTTGTGCAATAAACAGATGATATTGTAATCCAAGAAGTTCCCTTACTGACTTCCGTTCACTCGTGTTACGTCGTCGATTAATGAATTGCATCGCCAGATCCTCGCATGTTCGAACTTCAATACGTATTCGAGGATAGCCCGCCAAAATGACCTACTGTCCACCCCACTCACAGTGGGAGGGATACCTGGACATCCAGTCAACAACAATATCAGGAATTCATTCATAACAGTGCCTACTTTCTATCGAAACGGCGGCGTCTAAATGGACACAAAGCTGCAGAGGTCGCATCGAATAACCTAAAAATCCGAACTTTGCATAATATACAGCCGAGTGCTAGCGGCGATTTTTATGTAATATGCTGTAATAAAGTTATGCAACTATCATTTTGACCTCATATTTTGGCGGGTTGCGATAGTCTGTAGTGCGCCATGGCGGTAGTCGTTCGCGCGCTTTCATTTGACATTTGAGTGCGTTCTGAATTCGAATCGCCGCCAACCGGACAGTGTGTTTTGTGCTGTATCTTGATGTGATTATATAGTGTGTGACTTTTTTTTTAAAAGACCAAGGAATCGATTTTGGGTGAGTTACCTAATTTTGTGGTTTTATGTAAAAATCATTCCTTGGTGTCGTGATTTAATGTATGCGATATTTCGAAAGGTTTTTATCTGGGTTTTATAAACACGACATGTGAAAGTTGCGGCTTCGCGACGGAAATGCGTTAGTGTTATACATTAACAGTTTTTTATGGAGTGCGTGAACGTGTATTACGAATCGAATGCTAATGAGTACGATGATAAAATAGCATGACCTAGAAGGAAATTATATTCCATTTTTCCTTTTTATTCCATCAGTTTTCCGAGTGTGA